TACGGCAGCTACTGGGTACATAAACTTCTTATTTCACTTAGTTATTATAATGAATAAATATAAATGGAATGAATTTACCTAAAATATATTTACTAACACCCTTATTAGGAGAGATGGAAATAAACTTTTCACCCACTTAACACTCAGTTATAGGCAATAGCTTGTTTTGTTTATCTGCCTGCTTAATGAAATACTCAGCAGTATGACAGTGGTCTATAAATAATTGAGTCTTGGACAGACAATCCAGTGATTGACATCATATAGGCCACAGTTCATAACAGACTGCAGATGAAATCATAATTCATCCCTGCACATCACACAACCAAACACCCTGCCTCGCAGCATTTTATTGTCTACAACACCTGCAAAGACATTTAGAGTGTGTCCTTCATTGTTTCCTGACTTCACAAAACAGATCATACAGTAACATATCAAATATATGGATTCACCTACATGTCAATCATACCCATCGACATTATCATAATTAGTAGAATTAAATCGTAGTCAATCCAAAAGGTATGTGTCCTGGCTTGAAATCTCGTAAAAATAAAATACACACTTACAAAAATAGGGAAAAAGATCAGGTTCTACCGAGATTTGAACTCGGATCGCTGGATTCAGAGTCCAGAGTGCTAACCATTACACCATAGAACCTCCATGTTGTCGATGGGGAAATAAGTGGTACAAATTTACAATGGTAGTGTTTCATTGCATGGGAGTGGTCCTAGTATATAATGATTAAAATATAGTTGGTTTAATTTGTCAACTTCCTTTCTGTAAATAATGCCATACTACGCCTATAATTACGCGTTTATCACGTGACCTTATACAGCAGTAACCACATGACCGTCACTGTGTGCCGGTAGTGCAGTTCATGTTGACTCTACACTCGTAAATAATATATTCACCAGTTTATAAATAGTACTGGAAGACCACTTCTATAAATCTGGAACTGAAATAGTGGCACAAACAGCTGTACATTTTGAAATGTTCTGGCCTTGCAGTTGCCAGTAAAGGCCCAACTGCTTCGATCCAGCGTAGATCTAGGCCGATACACGGGATCGCTGGACTATTTTGTTGTTGTATTTTCTGTATGTGTGAATTTGCACGTGGCAGCCCAGCAAGAGAAAGAATGATCAGTTGATTTACTTTTTTGTAAATCAACGGGTCATTCCTTGTCATCAAAGGATTAACAGAAATACGTTGATTAATCACTTTTATCTTGCACAGTGGATAGATCTAGGCCCTATATCAAATGTGAGTGTTTACATGTGTAGGTTTACTAAAGCAAAGAGAATACACTGCATGGTACCAATACACTCATATCATGGCGTGTAGTGCCGAGATAAAAACAACATACTTTGTTCAAAGGGTTTGTTAACCGATGATACGTTGACTGATTGCTCATTGTCATCTAACTCGATGGATTTTTTAAGAAACCGTGGATGTTATGAAAAAAGTTGTCACGTGGGCTTTCTCAGCCGACCTGACACCTATGTGAAACACCTGAAACAATCTAAGTGATCAGTTGAGAAACGAACACGGGTTATAATATCCCGAAACGATATATAGATTTAAAATATTTGATTGTGACAGAGACACGTGACATAGAATAAATTTCTTCGTACAGCTGCAGACGTGTGGGATATTGTTCCTTTATGTGGATATTCACGGATACATTCCTCGAACTTGGAAGCTGCCTAAAATTATACACATAAATTTGGTAGTTTGTAACTATCGTGTATGATATTTGCATTTTGTTTTCGTTCATTTGCTGTAGCATTGAACAGATTCATTCTTGTTCCTCTACATCTTGGTTGGGAAATTCTTTGATGCGCGATAGACGTTGTCTTCACAAGTCTTTTCCTTTGTAAGTGTGTAGATCTATATATATCAGTCAATTTGTAAAATGCAATTATCTCAGGCAATTTATAAAATGTCAAAATATTTCAGTCATTTTGACTGAAAAATCTGTCCATTTCTTTAACGGATTGACTAAAAATCTATCACAATAGATTATTAGAATCTATGTAGGATTAGAAGCCAAACAATATAGAAATGTACTTTTCATCGTAACATTTTCAGTCTCTTGGTGATGATATTAAACATAAAAATGTTTGGAATTCGTTGTCATAACACAGATGGACATATTTTTCAGTCAATTTGTAAAATAACTGAAGATTTAGGGGTTTGAGAAATTTCCTTAGTGAAAATTTTGCACATTTTGACTAAACATATTAACACGATAACATAAGCAATGCTCAGGTGAAATATTTACTTTGTGTTGCAAGTCAGAATAGTGTAAACGAAAATCGCACAATTACCAAGAAAGTGACTTATCAAAACTTCGTCACAATTGCCGATGCTGCCCACAAAGATACCTACATTTCCTTATTATTTCCAAAACTGTATATCATTTGGTTGATCAATGTGACTATACACCCTTATACTATCAATAAAAGTGACTAATGCGCTAAAGCTTTAGATCAGTGCCCCTTTAACCACGGTTCATGGTAGGGCTGGGACGAGTCCAAATTTACTGCCCGGGTACCCACCACCCTATCACCCGACTCTACCCGGCCGGATACCCTCTGTAGATATCTAGAGATAGGAACAAACTGTCCGATTTGGAAAAGTTTGACCGTAGCCCCTGGCAAATTGTATTTAGATACACATGTAAAACGATCTGGTCATGCAAACACTGAAGTTTACTGCATGAAGTTTTATCATTATTCAAACATATAAACAAACAGAGGTAATAGGTGCATTGTCAGAAAGAAATGGCAACATTAGTGACCTATAGTGTAACCATAGAGTTTTTAGATAATTCGTGGCATTAAACAATTTAATATATCACGTGACGATAACCACGGGTCCGGTAGTCCTGTGGGTATCTTGGTCCTACTCAGGACCCACCCGACCCGCGTACCCGAGTTACCCGCCCCAGCCTTTGTACGTGGAGAGCCTTCAAATAAATTATAATATATATATAATTAAAAGGATTAAGCGGCAATGCATACATATATATATCTTTTGGAGGGGGATACCGGCGGAAGTCTTTCCAGTATTCCAGTTTTATCATGGCATGTCAGCTTGATGTGGAGGAAAGCGGTGCTCAGACGGTCCGTAGAGAAATATGTCCCAGGATAACAGATTGAAAACATACTTATGCCTCCTGTTTCACTTTGTTAAATAGAATTATCACAATGATAGAATTCTCTGCTTCCTCTAGGTACCTACCTTGCCTTGAAATCCCAACATGGATTAATTAAAAGAACACTAAAATAATTCAACAGTGTTTATTTACCATAAATAAACAATGAAGTTGACACGGTGGAGGTGATGAGATATATTCAAGGGTAATTTGTGAACAAATAATAAAATAAAACAAACTCAAGCACAGAATCGACTCGAACAACTACAGTGTGACAAAACATCTTTAAGGTTTTTGAAACAGATTAATAAATTACGTAACAGACTAAATCAGTACGTTTCAGTGGTGAAACCAACATATAACTTGTCTCACTTTAACAAATTAAACACACCAAAACAAAATATTTCTCTTATTATTCTGGTATTGTTATAAGTTTCCCAACACGCCATTTCCATAAATTAATTCAGGCTTCAAGAACTTTAAAAAATCAGATTTAACAAAAATTATAATACTAACACTATGATCAAGGGTGTGCTGGCGTTATGATCATGATGTGCTCTTGCCATGATCAACGATGTGCTACCACCATGCTCAAGGATGTGCTACCACCATGACCAAGGATGTGATGCCACCATCGAGGGTGTGCTACCACCATGCTCAAGGATGTGCTACCACCATGATCAAGGATGTGCTGCCACCATGATCAACGATGTGCTACCACCATCGAGGGTGTGCTACCACCATGATCAAGGATGTGCTGCCACCATGATCAACGATGTGCTACCACCATCGAGGGTGTGCTACCACCATCAAGGGTGTGCTGCCACCATGATCAAGGATGTGATGCCACCATCGAGGGTGTGCTGCCACCATGATCAAGGATGTGCTGCCACCATGATCAAGGATGTGCTACCACCATGATCAAGGGTGTGCTGCCACCATCGAGGGTATGCTACCACCATGATCAAGGGTGTGCTGCCACCATGATCAACGATGTGCTACCACCATCGAGGGTGTGCTGCCACCATGATCATCGATGTGCTACCACCATTGATGGTGTGCTACCACCATGATCAAGGGTGTGCTGTCACTATGATCAACGATGTGCTACCACCATCGAGGGTGTGCTGCCACCATGATCATCGATGTGCTACCACCATCGAGGGTGTGCTACCACCATGATCAAGGATGTGCTGCCACCATGATCAACGATGTGCTACCACCATCGAGGGTGTGCTACCACCATGATCAAGGATGTGCTACCACCATGATCAAAGATGTGCTGCCACCATCTAGGGTGTGCTGCCACCATGATCAAGGATGTGCTGCCACAATGATCAAGGGTGTGCTGCCACCATGATCAACGATGTGCTACCACCATCGAGGGTGTGCTGCCACCATGATCAAGGGTGAGCTGGCACTTTGATCAAGGGTGTGTTATGGGTAACGGTAAATACGGGTTGGACACTGAAGCAAAACAGAGAAACATGTTCCAACATCAACATCTAATTTAACCATTGATAAGGATACACAGCCTAATTCATTCAACATGAAATAGTTGCAATAACAATGATTTAAAATATCCGGGTTACAAATGTCGAAAATGTGATTTCAGGAACAAAGCTGCTGATTTTCCCCCTCCCTTACATTTGTAACATATAACAAGCAACTGCTATATCTCTAGCAAACATCACATGAACAGCTGATAGGCACTCACAGGGTACAGTCAGAAATGGTAGGGGGCCACTATTTTAGAGGGATGGGGATGGGGTGGGGCAGGAGAGAGTGGAATTTAGATGGGGTGGTAGGGAGGTTACTGCTGCTTGTCTACGTGGATGGAGGGCTAGGGATAGGGAGAGATGGGTGTGGGGTAAGGAGTGATGGGTGTGAGGTAAGGAGTGATGGGTGTTGGGTAAAGAGTGTGGGGTAAGGAGTGATGGGTGTGGGGTAAAGAGAGATGGGTGTGGGTAGGGAGTGATGGGTGTGGGGTAAAGAGAGATTGGTGTGGGGTAGGGATTTATGGGTGTGGGGTAAGGAGTGATGGGTGTGGGGTAAAGAGAGATGGGTGTGGGTAGGGAGTGATGGGTGTTGGTAGGGAGAGATGGGTGTGGGGTAGGGAGTGATGTTTCTGGGGTAAGGAGAGATGGGTGTGGTGTAAGGAGTGGTGTTTTTGGGGTAGGGAGAGATGGGTTTGGGGTAGGGAGTGATGGTTCTGTGTAAGGAGAGATGGTGTGGGTTAGGGGGATGGGTAAAGGTAAGGTGTAAGGGGTACCGGTATGTGATATTGGGATAATGGGTTCGGGGCTGGATCCATGTTGAGAGACTTGGACATAAGGCCAAGTAACTCCCACTTATAACATGACTGCTCATAGAGCTATTGTTAAATTCAGGTATTCAAGGTTTGCTATACACTGGTCAAGGTAAACGATAAATTGACATGCCAAACAGTTTTACATGAAATATGTTTCTGTTTTCTTAAAAACAATTCGGTTGAAACCTCATGTTAGTTGTATTATTCGATCAGAAAAGAATTGAATGATTGAGGTTTCACCTACATTTTTGAATGGCCAGACAAAAGTTTTTTATTTTGTGAATGAATTTTGATCCTCAAAGGTCCACTTGCTGGGGGCATCGGTCAGTGGGTTTCAGAACAGAATTTCAACTCTACCCACAGATGACCTCTAAATGTGCCAAAGCAATCATATAAATAGACATTAAATATATGACATGTGACAACTGGGGGCACTACTGACAAAGATGCATGCAAGCTTCTTGGCAGTACTGACTCAAAACAAGCACTCCAACATCACACATTGGCACTGATAAGACTTCCTGTAGATAACCTGAATAAGAAATGTTAATAATTCTTACAATGTCTCAATTCCAAACAGCACACTTTACCAAACAACTGAACTTACAAACAAAACCCATTTACACCAATATATATCTAGAATATATCATAAAGGCAAAATGAGATGTCACCACCAAGAGCCATACCCTACTGGAAGTCACAGACATGATCAAATACAACAGAGTCACATAGGCGTTGGGTTCCTAACTGTAGGATTCATTATGCTGGGACTGATCGAGCCCACTTCAGACTAACACACAACCAAAAAAACTGAAGGCAATTAGGTATTAGATATTTTCAATTATAAAAAGACAATGTTAATTCTATCTGAATTTGTCAAAAGTATGACTGACAGCTAATTTGGATATCCTTCTTGAAGGCTAGATCAATTAATGTACATGTACCTGTTTTAGACAACTGACATGTCTTAAATTTAGTCCAGTCTGTTCATATCTCATATAAAATATTTATGAGACAGATTTTAACAAATTTACATGAAAGTAATTTGAAGTTCTCACTAAATGTGCATAACATGTTTTAAGAGTTACTTCCCTTACACTACTTTTTGTCAAACACTTAACATCCACCATCCAAATACATACATCTACAGGTTTCACCAGATGGGTGACCTGAGGTGACAATGTCATCCTACATGTGTCATCTTCAAGTAGAGTATGTGTACGAATCTAGGATTCAAATCCAAACCAGTGCATCCTGGTGTAAAGTTTAAAGAAATAAATATCCTGTTATTAAGTGGTGCTTTTTCAACCAATTATTTCAAGTACTGCAAAGCCAACTCTGTCAGGTTAATTTCCAAACTTAGGATACCATCTACATCTGTAATTCCAGCCTATACTATATAGTACAGTTCAGATGTCTGGCAAATAAATGAAGTGCTGGTGATGAAAACAATTTGTGACTGTCACAATAATTCCTGTCTAAAATGTCTTAAATAGCAAATATATACTTTTCCTTGAATAAAAACAAACAATTGTACATTTTGTACAAATTCCCAGAGTACCAGTCAATCGGTACATGCCCTCACTATCAAATTTTCATATTTGACTTGACAAACACAAGAACAAACCTTCATAAATATCAACTAAGAGCTACCACAAGACTAGAAGACACGTGATAAATTACAGAAGATAATTAAATTATTCAGAGTAATTAACAGGTAAAAGTAAACACAAACATAAGATTAAATAAACAACATAATAAAATAAAAAGAAGGCTTTTCATACAATAGTGTCAAATATTTTCATATCACATCGCCTTAAAATGTACTATGCTTGAATTTCATGTATACATTCACAGCTAATTTTACTAGAGCACTAAGTTTCAAAGACAATTGTTTGTCATTTTTTATAAATTAACACTGCATAAATTCCATCTGATCATCGTCTTAAAAAACAAAATCTTTTAGAAGAATAACAATTTAAATAAAATGCATGTTGAAACCAATTCATAAATTATCCTGTTTCTATATTCTTCATCTACATAGAATATTATGCAAACAATATTTCTTCCAACGCTGAAAACAAATACATTCTCCTTTGTTTTGAGAGAAGACATTGAGCCTTCAGAAAATAACTAATGACTGAAATATGTTAACTCTTAACATGATCTTGTGCTATTCATAGATGATTGTGCCACAGCAAGCTTACATTAGCAGTAGGCAACAGAATGTTACCATGGTAACTGTTATGTTTTCTTTAATTATCTCTACCTCAGTTCTCTAAGTGAATGAGTTGAGTAATACGCCCTTTACCAATATTCCAGTCATATTACGATGGAGGATGCCAAGAAAGGGCACCACACATTGCAACCATGTGGGGAATTGAACCTGGATCTTTGGCATGATGGGCGAACACTCGAACCACAAAGCTACCAGTCCTCCTTTATCTCTTAATTTGTAACAAAAACAGTTTACAGGTAATGAAAATCAGGAGAAGCAAAGAAAGAATATGACGTTACTCTTTGTGTTCATTTTCTGACTACCATGCATCTAAATTGACCCTCTTTTGAAAAATGGGAAAACGGTGCTTTTTAATACAAACACTCAAATACGACAAAATATCAATAATTAAACAATAATCTCATACAAATACAATAAATATTCTATATTCTCTACTGTCATGCAAGAAAACATGCAAAACTGTAAACAAAGACAATGATTCAAACACTACACTTGAAAACCACATGCTAAAGAAAATGTGCACTTGTGATTCATAGATAATAAACGAAAGTATTTTCCAGGGCTGTGGAAATCTTAGCAATGTTCACATGTCCCTGGACAAGTGAACTATCCCAATCTACATATATAGAGTCAATGGTTGTTGTCCATATTCTAGGATAGTTTTGGCAATAGTTTTCTAATATAAAATCTGCCCTGTTCAATAAAACTCGGCAAAATCATGTTTGGAAATTTGATGATAGTTGCTAGTCAATATCATTATTTGTCCATTGATGATCAAACGGAACATTTCTATTTGTATGACAATCATTTCTTCCAAGATGGACACATTACAAATTGTATTTCCACACCCCTGATGTCTATCAAAAGATGGTTTTCCTACTTTGAAAAAAAAGACTTTGATTTTGAATAAAAAATATATATATATAAAATACTTATTACACTGTAATACAGCGGTGCGTACAAAAACAAGAAATGTAGAATACAAAAAACAAAAGTCTTTTACAAATGCATGTTAATGAGGAATAAATACGATCTTAAACTTTCCAGTGGAATATGCAAAGATTTGTAATTTCCTTTACTAGCAGGATTTGGGTGTGGTGCATTATAAGAGGCACAATGAAGTATTGTTTTCCTGGACTGACCTTGCCATGAAGTGCTCAATGAATACTCAAATATTCACATTTGAAGTCTTAAGGATCGACATTTTTAGTGGCTTTGGTGCAAGCGTTCCTCGCTAAACTTTTACCCATAAACTGAGTTGCGTATTCTTCAGTTTGTATTACCATTAAAACTATTTGATATTTGGGAAGGGAGCCAAATATGTGTCCTAAAAAAATTGTTTTGTGGGTCAAATAATAATTTCATCATATGTCTCTGGCCGAAAATATATTTTGTCTCTAACAAAAATTTCAGACTTCCCTAGAGTATTAAATGGCCAGTCTCTTATGTTCTGGTTGCAAAAATTCCACATGGTGGATTCAGAGGGATAAACATTGTCTACCAACTTTGTCATGGTGTTCATTTTTTAAATAGAGAAGGGAGCTGACTCCTAGAGTACTTGAGTAATCACCTACTACTTACCAGGCAACCATTTCAGCCCCAGTGCATTGTACATTAAATAGGAAGTACCTTTCAGAATAAGATCATCTGAAGATTATCCTAAATAATTATGCGATTCCATATGAAAATCAAATTTCTGAAATACATGCAATCAAATTAAATTAAGATGAGGACTAACTTGTTGAATAAAAGAATTGTCAAATTTCATTATTTTCTCAGAAATCATACCAAATACACCTATTCAAAATATTTCCAAAAATACAGGTGTATGAATAAAGTTAACTCAATATCTTGAATATTTTCTGAAATATAACAATGATAACCAACCTGGAAAAGTCTCCAGTGAGATAAACCACTGATACAAGGGAGATAACTCTTCAATGTGAGTGATGAAATACAAACCCACAATCAATAACAGTCATATCACAATTGTTGCAACAAGTACTTGAGGGTACAAAATAGAAAGAGTGTATAGGCACATTTCAGAAGTCAACAATACACAAACAAGAAACATATTATGATATAATTATAGTTTCTGCTCTGCTAAAATTGCTTAGATGTATTTTGTATCACACCATGAAACAGAACATTGATTAATATTCCAGTGAAGTTCCTGCATGTCATGGACAAGCAGTATCTATAATATATGGGGCAAGATAATTTGTGCATAATTACATGTTGAAACACAAAGCACCTTATATCTGACCATACTGATATTTCTTGGTTAATATTTTCAAAATCAAACCAGAAATCACATGAGACTTTATTCCAACCAACAAAGCCAAACCCATGAAAAAGTGTTAATCGCTTAAGATGATAAATTAAATTCTACAGTTTCATAAATTGCAATATTAAAGAGTTTCAAATAATTCTTTTCTCTCACTTATCTTAAAAGTTATTTTCAACAAGATACTTATCCCTCCTTTCACAGCTGTTTGTTGAAAGAATCGTGTATAACACAGTTTTACTACCATGTGTATTTTGTCCCAACTGGTAATTGCATTCACCACAATGTACACGTGTATACCATATTACCATATTCAACCCAATAATTGTCTCAGGCACATAGGTTTCTGCAAGGCATGTGAGTATCTTTATCAGTATACTATCGGTGAGTTAGTTGAGTAGTTCCTATGTTTGCATGTACAGATGTGCTTACTTGCAGATCAATAAAAGAGCAATTTAATGATACGTGTTTCATTAAATAGCAAGTTCTATTTCTCAGGACCTTGACTTTTGCTTACAGTTAAAGATGGTTTCTTATAATTTGTGATTGTGGAAGATATTTCTCAATACATATAAATAGCCATTTATAGCCTTTTGGAGAAATAGCCATGCCTGAATGTGATCCTAAGTCATGCTTACATTATGTCAAGAAATTATTGCTAACCGAAATGATTTCCTAGAGAACCCCTTCAGGGACTGTTGCACTTACTAAAAACAACTGTATTTTTTCAAGCAGGGAGGATGCAAGCAAAAAAGACAAAATCTGTAACAGAGAGTAGTCATAAACAGCTGATAAAGGGTGGGACACTTATCTGGTGGAAATAAGAATCTCAATATTGTTCTAATGATATGTAGTCTCTTATCTTAGTCATGGCATGGGGCACTTTATAAAATATCCATGACACCTTTTCATAAAAACTGACATCTTCTGAAAAGGAATACTTAATCAAGAAAATGGCATGATCAGATATCTGAGTGGGCCGTTACTGACTAACTTTTCATAAGCCTCTCCTCCATGCTGGGATCGAGATGCCAGACAATGTGAGCCATGAATTCCAGGCGGTTCCCGAGGCGCTTCAGACACTTACGACACGTGAAAGGATCTGATGGGTCGGCCGAATGAAGACTCATGTGAAGAAGACTCATTGAATGGTCCTCGAACCAAATGCAACAGTGATCACACCGGATCATCTTTTTCCCGAAAAGATACCCTGAACTCTTGCCTGCTGCTGTTGCTGATGACAACCCTGGAACTCCCATGCAGAGCAAAGGCGGTTCTGGACGAGATGGTCGAATGCTTTGTGTTGGTGTTGCTGTTAAAAGGCTTCTCATGTTGATGTATGATGTTGATTGGTTGCTCAGTGTTTCTTTTCTCATTGATGGAGCTGCTATGATTGGTGGAGGTTTTGGAAGGAGGGAGACAAGATGACCAGATGACCGGTTTCCGCGGTTACAAGATGATGACACGTCTGCTGAGCTGCTTACTTGAATATTATCATCATCCTTCTTCTCATCTTCATCATCTTTCTTATCAGAAGCATCGTCTGCTTCTTCATTGGAATCCTCCGATTTGTCCTCATCGGCGAGATCTGAAGGAATCAGGATCATCTTCATGCCATCACTGAATGTTGTAGCTTTCACCTCTTCCAATTCTTTAAGATGTACATCTGCAATGGAGTTTTCACCCTCTGCTAGGGAGAAACAGTTAGATATTGAAACAGAAGGCCCATCATTATCATTATCATTCTCAACATCTTCATCATCTTGTTCGGCAATGTCATTATCAATAACAATCGACTTGCTTTCATCATCGTCCCCTAAGTGTCCATTAACCTGACTAGGTTTTTCCTCTGAGTATTCTGGTTCTTCCTGAGCCTTCAAGGCCATGTCAAGTGCTTGTTTGGCCAGGACAGCTGGGTTGTTACTCTCTTCTCTCACTTGTCCATCCAGGCCTTCTTTGACATCTGGTTGAGGTCCAAGACCGAATTTGGCAAGTCCAAGAATGGGTCTACTCTCCTCTACTTCCCCTCCCTCCCCTGGCTCTCGTTTGATGCTGATTGGCAATCCCCCCTCTGCATCAAGGCCATCACTGCTGTGGCCATAGAAGATGTTGCTATGAGTTTCCTTATGGTGGTGTAGCTGAAGCGCTGATTCAAATGCTTCTCCGCACCGGTTACAAGAGAAAACCTGAATAGACAAACACAGTTAGTAAATGTTGTTTGACACGGCAGTCAGCAAACTAATGGAGATGCAAGTCAGTCTGTCTGATGTTAAAGGTATCCTGTTCACTGGTAAAATTTCAGACTTTTTAGGGGTCTCCCTATATGTGATAGCTTTTCAGGTTAGTATAACCAGGGTATTTTAGAAAAAGAGGTTTTGGGTATTTACTTAAAATGTAGTTTACTAAATTAAGCTTTTGGGTAAAAATATGGATGCAAATAGAATATATTTCAGGTTTACTTGCATCCATGAAATATTCTTTGAAGTGAGACCAAAATAACTTCTAACCAGATTGGGGCTTTAGACTTGAGTCACCAACTGAATGTAACGTATCATTACTTAACAGTTACTTGTTATATGATAGTTGTATTGAAACTTGACGTATCATGATGCATTGATGTGTCCTTTTTCTGGACTGCACAAAAGGTCATACATTGTAACCACCCTTTCTCCACTGGACGGCTCTTATGACAAGCATGGCGTACTACTACCAGGAACCTCTTCTGTTTGGAGAATCTCCATGGACAGACAAATAGATAGGGAAACAGACATCAAATTTTGTAACATTTCATTGACATATTCTCATGCCTACCCACCTGAACAATCCCATGGCTCCGTAGATGAGCCTGAAGTGTCTGTCGCCTCATGAACCTCATCCCACACAAACGACACACATTTTTTTGCCGCTGTGGCATATGCACTTTCAGATGCTGTTTCACATGGTCAGATCGTGTGAACCTTTTTCCACAGATGGAACAGGCATATGGGCGTTCCCCACTGTGTACACGCACGTGTCGTTGTAGCTTGGATGGTGTGCGGTACGTGCGGCCACACACATAGCAAGCATGTGGCGGCTTCTCGCTGAAGTGCACTTGTGTGTGAGTCTGCATCTCTTGGAGGTTCTGAAACTGCCGGCCACAGAATCGACACATGTAGCGTGTGATGACCTGCACTGCATTTTTAGTGCTGCCTTTGGGTCGCATCGTGGGATTACAGGTCAGAGGTCAGGTTTCAGGTATAGCCAGTTGGAAAAGTCATCATCACCTACGCCATTGTTCCATGTCTTCTAAAAACAGAAAAAGAAAGCTATGAAAATACCTCAGTGATTGATATTTGTTGTTTGTTTGTTGTTTAACATCGCACTCAGAAATATACCAGCTATATCTGTAAATAATCGAGTCTGGACCAGACAATCCAGTAACTGACATCATGAGCATTAAGCCACGCAACTTGGATACGATGACATGCATCAACCAAGTCAGGGAGCCTGACCACCTGATCCTGTTAGTCGCCTTTTATGACAAGCATAGTCGCCATTTACGGCAAGCATGGGTTGCCTGAAGACCTATTCTAACCAGGATCTTCAGTGATTGCGATGGGTCTTACTCCATTTGGAACAGCATTACAGTTATAACAGGACAGAGAAATGCATAATGTGACAAGGCCCGTAATAGTTAACCACTTTGGTTAAATCCACAAGCACAAAGATGTAAGCAGACCAATTGCGGTGAATCTGCGATGTAGTCAGATGACCAGCAGATTCTAACACCTATGTGACCCTCCTACTTAATGAGTGAATGTTGTTTTATACCAATTATGCAACTACTCACCTTGACCATACTGTTATAAACCACACTTTCAATAGTTAAATGAACAAAGTCATGGCATCCTAAAATTATCAGCACAGATCTGTATGGTAATATTGGTATACCCAAGTGTATGCATGCCACCAGCTCATCCATTTTGCATATCACATTAGTGCTTCAGATACCATTGAGTATTTTACTCACACACAAGTATCTTTATGTATCTTCATATTATTTATGTATCTTTTACAATCTCATTAAAATCAGATCTTAGTTCTTGCTTACCGCTAAATAAAGATCTGAGGACATCCCATTACGGGTCACGTCAGAACAACCTTACGCAAACCTTGACCGACCAATGGAATGACCGACAAGAAGTCGACATTAACCAATCAGAAGGGAGCTTTCTCGTGCTTTACGGCACTCATTTCAAACTGGCGACTACGCTTCGAAACATATTTTGACAAATTCTCGATTACAAATTTGAAACCTGAACAAAAGCACATTCTGGAATGGCTAATAGATGGTCTAGATTGTATGGATTCAGTCGTTAAACCCGCAACTATCATTCGGAATACCCTGTGTTAAAGTTTACAAGGTTGCATGATTAGAAGTAACATTCCAACTGTCACTTTCATGATCTGGTAAGCGACGCTCTGATTGGTCGGATGAAAGGTCGTTCTGACGTGACCCGTAATGCGTGTCCTCAGATGTTTGTTTAGCGGTAGCGAGAACTCAAATCTGATTTTAATGAGATTGGTATCTTTTAGTAAGCTCACAACAATGATAAGTTACCATAGCACAATGTCGCGCTTTTGTGCATTAAGGCCATATGATTGCATGGAACTCAAACTTAATTGGGTAATAGTGAATTTATATAAGTATTTTACACATATACAGATCTTATCTGGAGCTCTGCACAATATTTTGCTCTGTTATAAAATCATATTTTTGAATTACTTTTTTTTCCCAATGATAATAACAATTGCTTTTTGTTCAAAGTTCTAAATATGTAAAATGCACATCAAACACTGAAACATAGTAACAATTTCCACATGTTCTAGTTTGCAGAAAGCTCAGAGGCAGATAAGCTTTTAAAAGTAAATATTCAAATGTAGGAAATTAAACATGTTAGAACCTTAAAACATTTGGTATTTATCGTTTCTATTTCTTTTCTTTTTTTTCATTATTAAATAGAGAACTATAGATCAGGCAATAAATTTGTCCAATTTCTGTGTCATCAAAATGTATAATGTATGTACATCTTCTAGATTCTTTGAGCTTACAATACTATTTGAGCAAAGCAATACCATTATCATACAGAAAATGTATGAATTTAGAATATCAACACATGAGTTAGCTATCGAAATAGAAGGTATCAACATTAACATGATTAAGAAGTTAGTTCCAGGGTGTGTCCATTTGTATACATAGTGTAGAAGACAAGTTTCATTTTATTTTAATTTGTCACATGTTTTATCACATTAAGATTCTGTTTTTCAAGCCTTACTAATGGAATAATCTGTCAGTCTTTAAATTAATGCAGTTATTTAATGTACAGAATGTCAAACAATTGTGCAATTTTCAAAAATATAAATCTATAGAGCATGTTAAGAAGTGAAATACCATTATTGTGTACATCCTCCCGTATGAGCTGTTGTTAACTTATGCTTAGCTTGTATCAACATAATATGTAAATACACTGATCACATGTAAGCTAAAAGTCAATGAAGAATTAAAAATATGATATATCTATCAGTTTGCCCTTATCTTTGTAGCTAAGCCTCAGTGATAACAAACATGCCATCTCAAGACAATATATGTAAACAAATACACAGATCAACACAGAATATGATAGAGCCATGTCAAATAGGATCCAGTTATCAACTTATCATGGTATTATACATGTTGTTGTTATTATTATTATTGTTATTAATTCATGAATGCACATGAAATATACTTAAAATATGTACACACAAAACAAGAGTCACAATGCGCCAAACTTTCCACCTGGATTCCCGACAAATAGATATAGAACAAACAGCATTCCTAAGCAATGAAGAACCAAGCAGACGAGCACCTGTTGTTACACGAAATAATGACTGCTCCCTTAATCCCTCGAAGCCCCTTGTGCAAACAGTCAATACAATCACGGTGAGGTAATTTATTCTTACCGGATTAAGGAACAATAACAACATTCTATCTGTAACAAGTTAGCTTAAAAGTTGTCAAAACAGGCTCCATAACAATTTAGTAATCAAATCGCATCTTCAGTCACATCGCCATATTGCCACCCCTAGGGGCCCAGCCAGAGCGACTCCTGGCGGAATAAATTAGTAACAGACATGAAAAAGAATCCCCAAATACAGTAAATATGCCAATAATTGTATACTCCAACATTCTATGTGTGAGAGAAAGACTAAAACCAACAATACCGAGTCTGGAAGTATCGCACACAAGCTCGCTCAACACGACAAAAGCAAGAGCCTTTCAATGCGGAAATAAACCCAGTCACCGCCCCCAACTCGCTGTAGGGTCAAAAGGGTTTCTAGTGCTTGTTGCATGTTGGAAGAACATTATCAAACTACGGGTTTGCGCTGATTCTGCATCGAACCCTTTCAGCATTCATTCAAAATCGATGTGGTGGACAACGTGTAGCATCTATAAAACTGAACAGATCCCTAAAAGCCCGGAAACGAAACAAATGCGGAAAACTCACCAGAGTGTCGGCAGTTTCCCACGGTGTATTGAGGAGATTGTTTCGACGTGTCCAAGGGAGCATTTCGTATTTAGGGTGCAGCGAGATGGGGGTCGGTCGGGTTGGATTTCAGAGGTTTTGCTGTTGTTATGATGGCATATACAGGTGATAAAAATTAATTATACCTCTTTGTGTTGAATTATCACTCTGAATAGTTCGTGAACTAATTTTGAGTTATTTTACCCCAAATTCATGTTCCGCTATATCACGGACCCATACATGTGGGTCCGTGGCTATATATAAACTCTTCATATATATTTCTTAATACGTTTATATAGTCGTATATATAAAAGAGGCCTAGTGACCGCACAAACAAGTGTAATACTGAAATTAATTGAATGACATATGTTTTATTGGATTCGAATGTAAGACCCATAAACGATTTATGTTTTACTATCATTTTGTCCCCTGTCGTCAGTTAAGTCCTATATAATCTTAATACAATAATCACAGTTAATCCCAATTCAGTGTTAAAGATAATCCGACAGATTCAGGGATTTTTTTTGTGCAATGCGTGTACAAACACATTATATCTATGACACTCCCAAATTGTCCGTATTTATATGCGACCGCCTTGCCTATTATAATTATATGACCCTCCCAAAGTGAGCTTGTCAATTTTAATCATGACATTCCCATTGTTGAACTGGAGCACGGTGTCATTGTTATATTTTACCCAGAAAGAGAAGTGAATGCAACTTTGGATTGTTGTATACGTACAACGTCACAAACATCATCCATTGTTCATGACGTCACATGAGTTTTGACGTCATTGGAACACAATGTTTTCATATCTGTTTTTAGCGTGACCGTCAAACAAATATTTTTCGACATAAATTCAAGTATTTATTTTAATGAAAATGTACTTGTTGACACATAAAATATACAGGATTATCTGTCCGGAGTGGCTTTCTGTTCTAAAATAATTATTCTGTGGATTTAATCCGTAATCTTTTGTACCTACCTCCTTAATTAATTATTTTATGTTACTGCCTTGTCTACAATGGCTGAAGACAGATGATTTGGATAAACCAAGCATTGGTTCAGATAATACATTATAATTACGACTTATCAAACATTGATACATGACCATTTTCAAGGAAAACATCCTTAAAAATCTTCAAAAGAAATCATGCTGGCATTTATTTCGTTCTCCCTCACCCTTTTCCCCGTCCTCAGGCTCGACAATAAAGTGAACTGATAAGTACATAATTAAATCACTTCCTTAAGTGCATTGTTGGTATACCCAACGCAAAGTAAACAAAAACGGTACAGCCTATCCATGAGCATGTTAGTGTCGACAAATTCCGGAGATGTTCGGATATTTCCGTGTCTTACTGGGCTTCAGTATTAAATGAAGCATACGTAAAAGATACCCATGGCCAATTTGAAACCGTGCCATGAAGCCAGTGAGTTTAACATTTACTTATATCTTAATGTGCAGTGCTTTAAACAAAACTGGAACAATTCGCATGTAGAATTACAATTTATCACGACATGTATACAAAGGCTCATTTTCTAGGATACTGACTGATTTTCACCAAAATATCCTAAAGAATGTTTTTCCTACTTAAGTAATGATACGTAATGTATAAACAGGTTAAAAATCATTAAAAAAACATGTCCAAGTGCCATTTGTCTCAAGCAAAATCACTGATCATCAGCTGAAGGACAACGCCCAACTATAATCGATCAACTTCCATGGCGAGTCCGCCCAAGGTCGTCATGAATCCGGCAGACCATTAGCAACATATATTATGAATAAGAAGAATCTCAGTTGTCAGTGCTATATACTAGTATATACCATGGACAAAACACTATCCATTAACCCGTCCCATCATTTAGTTATTATTAAAGTGTATTAGCGGTATTGCTACATACTGAATAATTACATTTGGGTAACTATGACAACGATCAATGTTTACTGTCCTGTATCTACCTGTATATTGATCTCTGATAACGACGTCATTATGCTATGCTGTGTTGCCTTGAGTGAATACAGTTCTGTTCTGTCCGTTACGACTACCGTTATGTACATGCTTGTTTGTTTGTTGTTTAACGGCGCACTCAGCAATATTCCAGCTATTTGATTGCGGTCTGTAAATAATCGAGTCTGTACCAGACAATCCGTGATTGGCATTATGAGCATCGATCTACGCAATTGGGATACGATGACATTCATCAACCAAGTCACTGAGTCTGACCACCCGATCCCGTTCGTCGCCTCATGCCTCAAGTATAGTCGCCTTTTACGGCAAACATGGGTTGCTGAAGACCTATTATTACCCAGAACTTCACGGGTGTTATGTACATGCAAACACATTGTCACAAGACGCATGTACCTAAAGACAGAATATATTTTAAAAATAATTTACATTAACATTAAAACTCCGATTCTGCGTGTCTTGGTCTTGTTGGTCGTGCATAGATACATCGATGCAATTTGGTTACATTTGAATATGACCCGTGAAGATCCGGGGTTGAATAGGTCTTCAGCAACCCATTCTTGCCGTAAAAGGCGACTATGCTTGTCGTGAGAGACGACTAACGGGATCAGATGGTCAGGCTCGATGTCTTGGTTGATGCATGTCATCGACCCCAATTGCGTGGATCGATGTTCATGATGTCAATCACCGGATTGTCTGGTCCAGACTCGATTATTTACACACTGCCGCCATATAGCTGGAATATTGCCGAGTGCGGCGTTAAACAACAAACAGACAAACAAAACATTTAAATATTGCTTTTGTAATAATGTGGAGAACTATTCATATAGACATTTTGCTGTCTGTTTACCATCCCCATCTTTTCTTAATGGTTTAGAAATAATCATTGTTTAACCGGATCATATATGCCGCCAATGACTGTCAAGGGGGGAATTAATTAAGAGTTTGGACATAAATTCACTGAATAAAACAGTACACTTTCAAAATCTACGTCTGAAATTATTAAGTGTATTTATCCAGGCGCATACACTTGTTCTTCTTACTTGATGCTGTGAAATAGGTTTTTTAACATACGGATGACAATACGAAAGATTTTATCAGATTCCCAAAGTTCAACATTTCATGTTCCTGAGATCATTTGTCAGTCTTTTCCCTGAATATATGTAGTACACAACAGTGTTATTATACTGCCCTGTCATCTTTAACGAAGTGAAGATGCTACTTAAGCACATACTAAAATTGCTCTGCCGGTTATTCCATGTATGTTCTTAGTTCGTTTCGATTTCTCGCCAATTAGATTAAATCGATAATCCCAATGCTTCACTATAACGCGTTTAACAGCCTTGAGTGACGTCGCCGTCAGCACATCTTATGTTATATAACAGGCGGATCGATTTACAAAACTAACAGCATTGATGTAACCAGCTGGTAACAAACCAGTTTTGTTACAAGATCTGATGTTCATGCCGGAGGGTGTTATAGCGGGGGAAATGTCCCGTTCCGGTCTATTTATAGATATACAGTCAGGTTGACAAGCGCCAGGTGCTTCAAAGTTGGATAGACTCGCCATTTCTGGGTCTCTAAAACGTTGTCCACCGTCATGGAGTACGATATCTAGATGTATTTTCAACGAAACCGTGACAAATATTAACTCTTATTCGATACTAGAAGGATTATCGGCGTATTGTCTTGCGTGGAGTACAGGTGAACGGGAAGTAGTGACGCACGCACAAGCATTATCGTCTGTTTTACCTGGATTACAAATGGGCTTGCACAGTTTTTACTCAAAAGACGGAGTGTCTCCGAGCTGTATTTGATTAACAAAACGTTACCATGGCAGTGTCTGTCACCTGGTTGATACACCTGGTTTGTATCTACATGATAATTAATCAAGGTAAGTAATAACTAGTTACCTATAGTGTTCAACGAAGCACGAGGTGTTGTACATCTTTGAGCCGCGACTAATGAGATTATGTCGGCAATAATCTGTGTTGTGTATTGATACTAATGCTATATTGTGGCGGTCATGTAAACACCATTGTTTTGGTCATTGTGCTACCTGTTTATTGTGAATTACTGCTGTATCGCAATAACCGGATTATCAAGTGTGACCTTGACATTCATGACAGAAATGTGACACGCTCCCGTTAAATTAGTGTAGACTAAACTATGTTATTCTCAAGCATTTCGTTACATTGATGATAGGACGATTTAGACGACAGTAACAGAGACCAGCGTTTTGAATGTAATTGTGGTGACGAGTTCGTAAACCGTTTTTTTTAACCTCATAGTAAGTTGTCTCCAGAAAACTCTACCATACCTGGCAACACACAATACTGTTTTAGTGAAACATTCCTCATAGGTAGGTAGGTAGGTAGGTAATTTAATTCATGTCTCACCTCATACAAATAAAATATATACACGTCACGTGATAAAATACATGTGATGAGCCATCCCGTATGGGATTATGAGAGACTATAGAACGTAAAAAGATACACAGACATAAAATATGGAATAAATATATATACGTTATTAAAAAGGATAAATAGCATAAAAATATTTATAAAAGTTTAAGATGTATATAAAAGTAATTTTCTAACATCTAAGACATCCATGCAGGTTTTGGCAGTAACTTAAAAAATATATGGGCATGACATAATAAAAGCTAACTGATCAACATCAGACATATAATAAAAATTGGCATTTAACGTTGAACATAAAACTAACATATTTTTAGTAACATTTTTATATAGGGGGCAGTGTAAAAGTACATGTGCTTCATGTGCTTATAAATAATACCATGGGACACCGCCCTAAAGTACGGGCGTAACGTTAATTCCTAGCCGTGACCTAAACCCTTAGCACAGTGCTTTGTGGCAGTCTCGGTGTTTGCCTTTCATTTGTGCGGTTTGTTTACACACAGCGTGAGCCTCTTGTGCCTGTATAATTTCTAAATGTTTATTCGTTCGATGCAGAGCGCCAGATTTATTTCAGTAGTTTATATGTCACGTGGACCATTACAATGTGAAAAATATGGACCTGGTTTGAGAAATATGTGGATCAGTACATGTATATGTTTTAAGATCAAAGGACGCTGGAAGTGTGTTTCAAACGTATTTCACTGACGGTGTTAACATTGTATTGTCAGTGAACAGACTGAGGTTTAATTTGGTTTAAGTTTTACCCTTTCTTACAAACGATTGGTTGTGAGGCTATTATACAAGGAAGTTGGTATGTATACATGCATATGAATCATCCTTTGTTCCTTGACACAACAAGGGCGGTATAATAATTATTTTTTTTAAATGAGGCGAGATTCCACTGAACAGACACTCATTTCGACGAACATAGAAAATAAGAAACAAACCTGCCGGGTAAAAGAAAGTTTGATGATGGATGTAAATGAAACAAACAAGAAATGGTTATTGGACGGTGATGTTTTTAATACGTGTTCCGGGGTATCACAGTTAGGTTTTGGACCTTGCAGTGTTTCGGCGATCCGAGGAACGTTTCTGTAACGCTTGTACTTTTTTGATGAAATTAAATTTTCAAGTGTATTTTTTGCGCAGTGTGTACACATATAAAATATATGCTCTGGAGTCTGTAAGAGACTAACAATCACTTTTTTTTGTGGCGTCATGAAATTATTATTGAAACACCATCTATGGTGTATGTAGGATCGGATCAAATTGTCACACTTTAATTTTGATCATGCATGCTGCTGTACATATGCATATGTGCAGAAGGGTTTTCTTGAAAAAAACACCAACATGTTGTTCTATTTTGAATTAATACAATATGGATAAAAATTATCAGTGTGTGAAACAATAAACATACATGTAAACTATTTTAGAATATATATATATATATGCACGTGGAAACATGTATTCTCTATTATGAGTACGAATGTTTATGCAACGCATCAAGTTCTTTGCAACCCTTTCATTTTGACCTCCATTTTTACCCGGACACGTTGCGTTTTCTGGGTATGGTCCATTTTAATGAAGAAATGTAATGTCACGTTGTTTTTTTCTGTCTACTTTTCTCTGTAAACAAATAAGGTTAATGCTATTGTAAAACATGTTTTAAAGTGTTGTAGTATTTCTGCTTCATGCGTCATAGGTAATGATGAACTTACGTTAGTTCCCAGACTCATGACATAATTATCATGTAATGTCTTACTCGTTGACACTCCGGCAAGTCTTTAAATCACGTTGCCACGCCTGTGTACGTGACATGCCACTTGAACGTCTTCAAAGGCTCTTACCGTGATACGGAATGCAATCATAGATTTGTCTTATTATTCTTTCCTCATTGATGTTTGTTTGTTGTTTGACGCCGCACTCAGCAAAATTCCAGCTATTTGACGGCGGTCTGTAAATAATCTGGACCATTGAGTCTGGACCATTCAATCCAGTGATTGACATATCATGAGTCCACACAATTGGGATACGATGACATGCATCAATCAACCATGTCAGCGAGCCTGACCACCCGATTCCGTTAGTCGCATCTTACGACAAAAATGGGTTGCTGAAGACCTATTCTAACCCGGATCTTCATGGGTGTCTAATTGATGGGACATGATGTTATGCGCAATGTTGATTGTATAAAACAATTTCTGAAGATATCACACTCAACCTAATATAGTAATATATATTCATTTGACATTATACGGACACGTGTTTCATTTAAGTTCGAGTTTTGACAATATTACAACCTCTACTACACTACTATACCGTTTCGCATGTACGTAAACATTTATACTCAAGCCACTTGTCAAGACATACCAAGGTAGTTTTTAACCACGTATTGGGCCGAGGTAAAAATAAGTCACATCTCATTGTTACCCTTGCACACTGCTGTGTATTTCTTGTGGGAATATTAATACATGTTACAAGCTATTTCACAACGACTTGTGAAACACAAAACATATTTGGCAGAATCTGAAGTTGAAGTTTGACTTTGGTTAAATTATAATTTATGATTGAAAAATACCATCCTCAGAAAACCTGTATAATGGATCCATCTGAATACCATACACCTTTAACCTGATAAAAAAAGAACGCTGTCACTGTTGGTTTGCCTTTGAGCATGTATTATATAGCGCGGTACTGCTGACGCATAACGCCTCTAAGCGGTGTTCCGATGTGACTCATTAATATGCTTGAATACATACATAAACCCACTGAGCGTGAATTTGGCATCCAAACATATAGCCACAAAGCTTTCGAGCTGAGATAGGATTTGCGATATAATCTTATGTTTGATGATAAAATACCTATTACAAAATATACATATTAAAATGATATTAAATTGCGAATGAAATATGAATGAAGGACTGCTGTTTCTTTCCATAAACTCTTGTAAAATGGTACTTGCGAAACCATGAACGGGTTTGATAGAGTTGAAAGTCGGTTTCCTTTAACAATGCAGCATAATACATAAGTAAATAAACAGGTACTTTTCAGGGCCGACTCCTAGTTACACAGGGTCGTAAAATATTATTATTTATGTCTTCATTGATAGAGGTAAACTAAACAAGCAGGATCGGGGCCAGTTTAATTAATATCGGTACAGTAGAAAAAGAACCAAGATCGGCTTTCAAGCAAAGTTCATTTGTTTAAATTATCGATTTGTCTCGTTACGGTATGGTTAAAGTTAGCCATCGAACATTCATTCAAAATACTGCAAGATCCCGAAACGAGGCATAAACCGTCGTGATATAGTAAACGTCACTGTTTACCGTGTAGTGCACATGAGCCGTAAATCGAGGATATAACACTGACACTAACACAAGACGTGTTAGAAAATTATTTGTTTTCAGTTGGTAAAGTACTAGTATATATTCAGATAGCTTATACATTTTTGATGAAATACTTCCACGCCATAGAAAACTTCATATATGGTGAAGACCACAAATCTTACATGGAGAATGATCAAAATTGAAGTTGATCTGACCAATAGTTAATATCATATGTGCTAAATATATTAAAAATTATGTATGTATATCTCTATGCCCCTCTTCCTACACTGTCTTTCCCGCTCCGTTTTTCCCATGCATGATATTACGACCCAGACACGTGGGTTGTAAGGGCATCATATAACTAACACACACATCCCCCCCCCCCCCCCCCCCCCCAATCTCAATCGATGTTACAAACCCCACGTATACTGGATGGCTAGAAGGCAAACTGGTATGCAGGACACTGCTTGAGGTAAAAGCAAATATTGCAACACGTTGGCTTTAAAAGAACGCTCGAGGGAGCGAGGCATAGACTGCCGATAGAGCACAGTCATTGTGACTTTCACGTTAAAGGTGATCGGCGATCTATCAGGGCAAAATCTGTGCTGTGCATGTCGGGGAGGTAGTGAATCAGGTGTCTATTCGTGGCCAAAGGTTAACGCGTAGTAACATGGGCTGAATTAAAATAAATTAGACTTTCTGTTTCAGTTACCAGTATCTGCCTTCTGAGACTTGAGTTGATATGGGGAGTTTGGGTTAACGCCACTTTGAACAATAATGTCATGGCGTGTCAGCATGATGTGGGAGACACGCGAAGAAAGCCTTCGACGTTCACCTATTTGGTGAAACCCACGTGCAAAGGTTTCTGACACGCCCAAGAAACAAAACAGAAACAGTCTATTTCTCTTTAAACCACCAGCGGTGGTACGAAAGAGTAAACAAAATAAGCAAGTACACATAAATTATTAATATATAAGTGAATTGCGGCGCTTCAGACGACTGCACCTCTTGTGCCTCTAGTGCATTTGAATTCGAATGTAGATACACATACACACTATCATCTTTGAATCTATAGACTTCTGTCAAGTTTTCGAGTTTTAATACCACATTTTGTGCAAATGCTAATATTAGATTCTATTCAGCACTTTATATGATAAAACTGGCAGATTTCAGTTAAATGATTGTTTAAAATAAACTGCAAATAGATATATTATATGTACACATCTAGCTTGGCATGTACAATTTATTTGTTACATCTAACCTTCATTTATGTATTCATTGTAATATGTCCTATGTGTAATGGAGCGGTATTAACATAAGCGCTTTGCATGTGTACCAATCCCTTTTCACACTTTTGTGAAAATAAATATGTTTAAACCACATTTTATGCATATGTATCCGGCATGTGTAGACCGGTGAAATCCCCAAATCATCCTCGATTATCCAGAGCACCATATCTCCATTACATTATCGGTTATCCATTGTACTTTATATCAATGTTATGATAAATACCAGGACCATGCTCTCTCATAATTTCACTTATCTGTTGTGGCGAATGCATGTGTCCCATGTATTTATCAATATAGAATGGAGATGTAATAATCTGGATTATCGATATCCCAAAATATGCCTTCCCATCTTTTGAAACATCCGGGATCCGCCCTTGTATATTTGTAGATTGTATTTCAGCTGCAGAATGAATATAAATAAAGTTTAGAAAATACTAAATGACATGCTTACAGTTCATGAATTGAATACGTGGGTAATCTGTTGAATACATAAATAAACATGAATCACCCACTTGAAAAGTGATTCCGTGACTGACATCAAACCTGACAATGAAACACGGAGGGATTGGCGATGGCGTTAATTGACGCACGAAATTACACAATGACCGGCATTCTAACAGGATTGGTAAAACAATCCCATTGCAGTTGTTACTGTTCTTCATGTGACAAAACCCCGATGGTTTCTGACTAGGCTATTTGATAACTTGTCCAGATGAAGCATACTGAGCAGTCAGCATAATTTGTTTCGGGGTGGGGGGGTTGGGGGGGGGGGGGGGGGGGGGGGGGGGTGGCCCAGTGGGTGACACGCTCGCCCATTACATGGAACACAAACGTTCTGTGCCCAAGAGCCTGTTCCAAAGATTAATGTATTTTTACAATTTGATTTGCTCAAATGCAATTAGTTGAGGCAGAGAAAATACATCAATTCACATTATTACCGATACCTTCCCACTGTCTATTGTGTCTGTGAAACTGCACTTATCAGTTACCAGCGGTTACATAGGCACTGAGGTATATTACGTTTCTTGCCAGTGTCCTGTTTGTTTGTTGTTTAACGCCACACTCAGCAATATTCCAGCTATATGACGGTGGTCTGTAAATAATCGAATCTGGGCCAGACAATTCAGTGATTGACATCATGAGAATAGATCTACGCAACTTGGTTACGATGACATGCATCAACCAAGTCTGCGAGCCTGACCATCCGATTCCGTTAGTTGGGACTTGTGAACAGAAACCAGAAGACACACCTTACTATAAATATTGACATGCCACCAAATAAGGTTTAACGTCGAGTCCAAGATTATTGCACTCATATAGCGACGTGCATGTACGTGTATGTGTGTGTGTTTGTGTGGCTGCTTGTACTAGTCCGGACTGATGCCGATTTATAGTGCTAGCTCACTGAGATACCATGCCGCAGTTTAACATGAATACCCCACTCAGACACAGTATACTGACTCCGAGCCGACCAGCCCTTGTTTTAGCCCCTTAATGCCGAGCGCCAGACAGGGTAACACCAAGTACCATCTTTTAACGTCTTTTGGTATGACGCGGCCGGGGATCGAACCCCGGACCTTCCGCTCACCGGGCGGACGCTCTACGCACACAAATCAGGAAGGATATTAAGCACATAGGCGGACTACACATTTTGAAATTTCAGATACCCGCATCACTTTGTTTCACACTTCTTTACACCACATCCGTATTTGCAGTGTACAACTCTTGGTGTACCAGTCTGTGATATTGCTGCAATACCATTATTAAACTATTTTTTTCTAAAATGAAATCATTTTCATGAAAATGTTTGTTAAATGTTATACATATGAAAGAAGAAAGGAGCCTTAAGAATTTATTCTATTTTCAGGGGAAATCTAGACTTGCCAAAATAATATGGACTTGAAATGACGATTTTTTTGGTTAGTTTTAGGGTCTGTATGGCAGCATACAATAGTAATGCCGGTGGTGTAATATCTCGTTCAGTCACTCTCTTTATGTTTTCAGGATACAGCCAGGGTGGTGGATGCTGCATTCAATGTAACACCAGTGTTACTGTGGTAACCAGAAACGCTTGGACCGCCATATCTACTTTGCGATACCTTAACCCGTTCTCCTACCCCTCGTGAGTACCTTTTTATGTGTGTATGTCGATGCAGGCAAACATCTTTTGAACTTCATTTGGGTTGACATTAGGGGCTGCCGGTAGCCATTTCTCGATCTGTGTTCGATTTCCCCAAACGTTTTTATCCCGCTTTTCCATGCTCCTCCAGTGAGGAACGTAGTGCTGCAATTGCAAGCTTGTTAAGCATTGGCTCTTGCTCTAAGAGTTTTTGATCAGGGTTACAACGTTCAAGGCCTTAGTAGAGATTTCAAAAGTTTTTTGGTAGACCTGTGGGGGGCATTTCCAAATTTGACGCACCGGTAATCAAAATGATGGCCAATGCATTCCCTGTTTTCATTTGTACCATATATTCCCGTGGTTTTTAGGTGAACAATTGGCTTTCCTTTGCATGTGTTTGTGACGGGTGGGGCAGGATACGCTCACCCTTTCACGAACACCTGGTATCATCACTATTCGATAGTGATTCATTAACACATATTATCGGAACAGACAGTGGATTCTGCTTTTTCAGATATTTTTTTATTATTATGGAAAGGCCATTGTCGCTTTTATTTACTGTATCGTTGTCATGGACGCCCTGACATGATTCACAGATACAGCATGTAGTACCTCGATTGTTATATGTCTGATATGTGAAACGTAGATTATGACAGGTGTCGTGGACAATGTTCCATGTTCCAGACAGGGAATTCAGGGTCAGAATAAGTCCCCAGCAATTGGACTGATGATGGTAACTGATTTTTGGGAACCAGAGCGCCTGGGTCGTTGTTCATTCTATCAACCACTATTTACCTGACTTAGGACTGTGGTTTGAAACAATATTCAACAAGTCACTCACTCACTCACTCACTCACTCACTCACTGACTCACTGACTCACTCACTCACTCACTCACTCACTCACTCACCCACCCACCCACCCACTCACTCACTCACTCTCTGTTTCAGCAACGCAACCTGTGATTTCAACTTGAGTCCCCAAAACCCACTTGACATACTCCGCATTAAGACCTCGACATTCGACTTGGAGGAGAGCATCGGCTGTCAAGAAGAGTATATCGAGATACTAACAGGTAGGAAGTATGATATTACCTATAAGGAAACGGCGAGAGTTTTGGCTAAGTTTAATAGAATATTTTGATAGTTTACCCATAAATACACGTTTAGATATTGACCAGTGGTACAAATTGAGATGTTGACGAGTAGGAGTAGATATATTGTCGAGTGTGAGACGTAGATATATTGTCGAGTGTGAGACGTAGATATATTGTCGAGTAGGAGACGTAGATATATTGTCGAGTGGGAGACGTAGATATATTGTCGAGTGTGAGACGTAGATATATTGTCGAGGGTAGATATATTGTCGAGTAGGAGACGTAGATATATTGTCGAGTGGGAGACGTAGATATATTGTCGAGTGGGAGACGTAGATATATTGTCGAGTAGGAGACGTAGATATATTGTCGAGTAGGAGACGTAGATATATTGTCGAGTGTTAGACGTAGATATATTGTCGAGTGTGAGACGTAGATATATTGTCGAGTGTGAGACGTAGATATATTGTCGAGTAGGAGACGTAGATATATTGTCGAGTAGGAGACGTAGATATATTGTCGAGAGTGAGACGTAGATATATTGTCGAGTGGCAGACGTAGATATATTGTCGAGTGTGAGACGTAGATATATTGTCGAGTGTGAGACGTAGATATATTGTCGAGTGTGAGACGTAGATATAATAGCGAGCTGGAGACGTAGATATATTGTCGAGTGTGAGACGTAGATATATTGTCGAGTTGCAGGCGTAGATATAATAGCGAGTGGGAGACGTAGATATATTGTTGAGTGTGAGACGTAGATATATTGTCGAGTGTGAGACATAGATATATTGTCGAGTGTGAGACGTAGATATAATAGCGAGTGTGAGACGTAGATATATTGTCGAGTGTGAGACGTAGATATATTGTCGAGTGTGAGACGTAGATATAATAGCGAGTGTGAGACGTAGATATATTGTCGAGTGTGAGACGTAGATATATTGTCGAGTGTGAGACGTAGATATATTGTCGAGTGGCAGACGTAGATATAATAGCGATTTGGAAACGTAGATATATTGTCGAGTGTGAGACGTAGATATATTGTCGAGTGTGAGACGTAGATATATTGTCGAGTGGCAGACGTAGATATAATAGCGAGTGGGAGACGTAGATATATTGTCGAGTGTGAGACGTCGAAATGTTGACAAGTAGGAAAGGTAGACATGTCGACATTAATCAGTAGAAAATGGCTACATTCTGAGTAGACTTCGTGGTGAAGGTCAGTTAGAGATGTATAGTTACAGATTACTACTTCCGAGTTAGGACATGTCGAGAGACTGACCATTAATACATGCATATTAAGCATTGGAGTGAGTGAAACGAGTGACGAATACCACATGTGGCTGGTCAAGAGGGCAGCAGAGAGGGGTCGGGATAGTTGATCTTGTGGACATATAATGGAGTACCGTGTAACAAATAAGTATAAATGACGAGATATAAACCAGTGAGAACAGAGAGAACTGATCAGTTGGATATTTCGAGATGAAACGCGGAGGTCTCATCCATTTGGATAGTTCAAATATTTGTAGAAAGAAGTATCAGTCAGTATGAATTAAATAAACACTTTCAAGAACGGAGATATTTGCCTAGATGAAGAGGCCACATACGTGACGTTATCGTGCAATGTATATAATTCTGTTGCAGAAAACTATGCGCATACGCCAGGCAACCGCATCTCTCTTGGACGATGGTGTGGACAATCGTATGCCAAGGTTGTGGACATCAAAGGAGCCGTGAAGATCAGATATAAGGCTGGGTCAAACACTTCGCGGGACTTCAGCATAGAAGTCATTGCTCAAGCAGGTAAGAATGCCCAACAATCCTTTATATTTTGGAGTTCTTTTATTCCGGCTTAGAATATGTCCACATGGGGATAAGAGGTGTTGTGTCCTCTGGTAGAACTTAGTGACTTGGTTGATAGGTGTCAGCGTACCCCCACGGCGTGGGATCTTGGTCATAATATCAATCACTATTTTTGTCTATTCACAGGCTTCCTCTTGTAGCTGGAATATTGTTGAGTGCGGTGTTGAACAACAAACAAATAAATAAATGAATAGCAGTCACGAATAATTAACTTTGTCAGTTTGTTCAGTTGACCTCTGTCCAAGTCCCTTGAATAACTCGAACGTCATTTGTTCATATCAGAACATGTTTTAGGGTCCCGGAAGAAGTGTTATCGAACCTGTTTTATCTGATTGACTTGGACTTATCTGGGTTTCACTATATGCTTCTTATTCCTGATATTTCTACTACCGTATTTCTTGTAATAAACCATTAACACCAGCTATGACTTTGTCACGAAGCACCATCATATCCACAATAATTAGGCTGCTGATTCACGAAACACTGTTGATAAGTTCCTGGCAAACCACGAAGAAACAAATCACCCCGAGGGGTGGCATTCAAACCTGAAGAGATTTGTTGTACCCTTCTATACCCATTGATAAAGTGCAGGTTGGGCAAGGCAATACTGAGACCAAAATCACGAAGAAGTATTGAAACCCAGACCATGCCCTTCACAGGGCGAAGAGACAACTTCTTGCCAACCAGAAACCTGTGAACACTTATCACGATGCTGTTTCACATCTAGTTGGACTGTCAATTATGGAAATGGAAATGTGAAATTGGACAAACATTGTGTACAATGCTCATTCTTTTTAGCAATTGTTCATTTTGTATTTGTGTATATTGCGTAAACAAACATTTATCCCTTGACCAGCTAAACGTATGAAGTCATCGTCTGTGGTACCGAAACAGGAGTTAGTCATTAATTGTTATTTTAATTATTCACAATGTCATGATCAAAGGTCGTTTCACACAGCTTTTAGGCCACGCCCACAAATAGGTTTGTTTGGGAATCCGATTACTTAGCGTGTGATTTCAGCACTTAAACATTTAAAACCTTGCTACGAATGTTATGATATAGTTTCTCTCGGAAATTGACTTCATATATCTAAGACAATTGATATTCGCAAGAAAATCGCAATTTGTGTTCTTAAGTTAATATCCCTAGAAGGGGATAAAACTGGTCGAGTCGGTGTCAATACACTTTGTCGGAGTGGGCTAGCACTATAAAACCGGCGTTACAAGCAGGCTATATAAGTGCCATACTCTTTTACTCGACGTTATGGCCCATTTCACCTCATCTCACGTCCTACCGATTGGTCATAGGCCTGATTTGTCAGGCTATGTCGTTACACATCATTCACTGACTCACTCACACATTTCCTTCATTCATCAAAGTTCATTTCGACCTGACTATAATGTACACACGATGATTGTATACTTTTATCCTTACAGGGAGCTTCTACCAGAGGGAGCTGACAGAGACCATTTCAGTGGGACAAGTCCCTATGTATATATACTCTCTGGGTTACCCTTCATCATACCTTCAGTAAGTATATCCCACCCAAATTACATTGATGTGGTCAGAGAAGCCGTAACTTGCTATGCAGAGTTATATCCCTTAGGCTTGTGAGGATCTGCTGATCAGGGGTTCAAATTCAAGATTCGCCCCTATTTGCACCCTGTCTGTCGCACACAACCCATGCTCCTGGGTTTACCATGATAGTAAACGTCTACGATCTGTGCCATATGTAGGCTTTCCTCACACTCTGCACTCACATGTTTAAAGAGACCTTGGAGAGGTAAACCTTTACACGCTATCGACCTCCGATTTGATCTACAATAACTTGGAATTCATACCGATTCTAGCATGTTCCAGCTATAATAAGAAGTGGGACACCAATATGGGAGGTTTAGTAATGTTCCTTAGTGATTCAACTGAAGGGTAGAACATCTGGGGCAGAGTACACCGGTAATCCATCCTTTCTGTAAGCGTCGACTAATGAGCCTAGGTTTATTATAGCCAGTCACCTGATTGTGGCCCCGACGGCGTTGACCGTTGCTCTTACCATATATCATTAACTGGTTTGCTAGTCTCTAGTCCAGGCAAGATCATTTTGCCTCGATATAGCTGAAATAGTACTGACTGCGATGTAAAACAACATACTCTCAGAATATACCTTTTCAGAGAGTCGTTGGATAAATACTCGCCAATACTTTCTGTACTGTAATCCTATCACTCTCTGATGGTCAGCAGGGGGCACGGGTGGCCCAGTCGTCTAAGGCGCCGTGATTCGCTGTGCAGAGTTGCGTCCCTTGGGCATGCCAGGAACCTATAATTGTGGCTTCGAATCCCGGTTCGCCCCGATTGTTTCTAGGTTTGTCAGCACCATACCCGTGCTCGTGGGTTTCACCGAAGTGGTACACGTCTGAGACCTGCATCACTTCGGGCTTTCCTCCCACATTAAGCTGACACGTCGCGATATAACTGGAATACTGTTAAAAGCGGCGTTAAACCCAACTCACTCACTTACTCACTCTGATGGTCCGCCAATTGTCACTCACAAACAGAAACCTGAAGATGACGTGGCACCTGCAGGCAAAGGATCGTTCTCAGCAGGTGAACGTTGAGGCGGTGGAGTTCAGCCTGGAAGGACCCGGGGACACTGGCCGCTGTCAGTTTGACAACCTGACACTCACCGCTGGTAAGTTGTATAAATCAGGGCATAGTCTGAGACCGCCCGCCACGTTTTTCACTGTACGTGTACTCTCATTCATGTTTATACTTTATACCGATTGTTCAAGTCTGTATTTGACAAAGTGACAGTGCCACTGACATACATCTTCCCGAGGCAAGGGCGTTAACCGACTATGAATATCCAGTTTAAACCCTTGCCGAACTAGGCTGGAATTTCCAGCCTCGATCGTAGTGCCATCGTGGCTGTTACTAGTTATGTCCCTTTTATGCCCCTCCTTATGACCAATCACTTCGGGCTTTCCTCCCACATTAAGCTGGAATACTGTTAAAAGCGGCGTTAAACCAAACTCACTCACTCACTATAAGACGGAACAATCAAAAGCCTAACGTCGCTCTTGTTTTCCAGCCTTTTCGCTCTGACTTTGGGATGCTCCAAACTAGATCCAAATTCAGACCTATAAGAGTCATTTAAAAAAGTCTGTCATCTGTACTGTTATATTTCATCAAACCACACACCTTTTGTTTTTCAAAGAGGCTATAAATCAATGGTATACTTACAACTCAAAATCTGATTCCCCACTTACATACATGCGTTAAACGTTACACTTCACCTTTACCCACTGTTTATGTTTACAATCTGGGCATTTATATACAAGTGTAAACGTCTGCGTGCAAATGGGGTTTGTGTGTCCACGATGTTTATTCTGCGTTTCAGATACTGGTGCACATACCAAGGCTGTCTGGTGCGGGGCTGCCGGACAGCGGTTCTTCTCTGGCAAAAACCACGTTCAGGTTTCATTTAGAACCGACCGCACAAAGGAGAGTACTGGTTTCCTTCTCCGCGTATACACCACATATGCACGTGAGTACCCACCCACCCCTAGGGGCTAGGTGTAGAGTTGCCACCCAGCAACGTACCGAGAATGCACGTTTTAAGCCCTGGGTTTATTTACGGATTTTGCCTATATTTTAATGAGTAACATTGTATCCAAAGTTAAACCGAGAGCTTAAAACGAAGAAGGACAAAAACAAGGCAGGACGAATGAATATCCGAAGATTTATGAAACAATACTCACAGATGAAATGACAGAGCAACACTTTGACAAAAGACATGGTTTTCTTTTTCATCTTGAAAGTCATGAGTCAAGGACACGTTCAAAATTGAGATAAGCCCACTGAGACACAGTATACTGACTCCGAGCCGACCAGTCCTTGTTTTAGCCCCTTGATGCCGAGCGCCAGGTAGGGTAACAACAAGTGCCATCTTTTAACGTCTTTTGGTATGACGCTCTACCACTAGACCACGGAGGGATTAGGTGAACCCAATGTGTGGACGAAGATAGATGGGTCTCAGGGAGGAATCAGGTTACATCAACAGAACCACACGAGCAATAGGCCAGGGACGGGGAACTGACAATGAAAGAATATTTTCAAAAACAACATTTCAAGTTCACAAATATGGGCAAGGAATGAAATTTTGATGATTGAATCTGAAAGAAACCAACGCAAAATCATCCAACAAAATAATAATATAATTATTAATTTGCCATGTTCCGATTCATCATATATTCACTTCACAGTAATTCTCTTTATGTCCTCCAGAAAACACCAACTGTAACGGGAGCCGTATTCGGGTGTTGCCGGCTCATCACACGGCAGAACTATTGTCTCTCACGGACATGTACAACAAGTAAGTTGCTGGAAAAGAGCTGACAATGGTGTAAAACAGTGTCCACTTAGATGGCCAGTGCTTAATACTGCAACTATCTCAAATTACAAACAATATAAACGCTGCGGACATTTCTGTTGCTCCCTTGATTCAGTCATTCCTTTTTGTGTGCACGTTCGAGAGACTGCCCTCTTATGACACTACTTGACTGTGGTTTCAGCTCGATGGCGTGTTCGTGGATTATACAAGCTCAGACTCAGAATGAGGTGATAGTGTTGGAGATTGTATCCTGGGATGAAGATGTGCTGTCATGTGCTGACAACCCTTTCCAGATATTTGACGGTAGTTTCTTGTCTTAGTAACCATACAATACATATGCAATAAATACGTGTCTATAGAACCCCGCATAGTAGTACGTCCTGAATAGGGCAGACATTGGAAGCACTTGATTGATATGTAATACTGTACTATGTTGAAACTCAAATGGTGATTTAAATTAAAATGTTGATATATCACTTCAGTCTAGTGAAAGGGCGGTGGGGTAGAATAGTGGTTAAAGTGTTCGCTCGTTACGCCGAAGATCCGGATTCGATTCCCCGCATCGGTACAATGTGTGAAGCCCATTTCTGGAGTCCCCCGCCGTGATATTACAGGAATATTGCTGTAAGCGGCGTAAAACTCTACTCACTCACGCTCAGTCTAGTGAGTGAGTGAGTTTAATGTAATGATTGAACAGTATTCAGTGAAGGCGTGTCAGCATAATGTGGGAAGCCTGGAGTGATGCAGGTTGCAGACGTTTACCTCTAAGGTGAGAAACCCACCAGCGCGGATGTGGTGCAGACGACAATCCAAGAACATCATCAGGGTTTCTCTGGGACTCGAGCCCACGATGATATAATTCTGGCACGCCTGAGTGAATGTACGCCATAGACCACTGACTACCCGTGCCCATCCCATTGATTGTGGTATGAGTAAAAAAGTCCAGGCATCGGAAACACTGACATATTACCAAATGCGAAAGTCAATGTGATTAATATGTTATATCGAATGTTAAACTTAATCAGTCATTTGACTAAATAAGCTAATATGTGAATTTAGTGTATGACGCATTTAAGCAGCACGGTGTACTCAAACATGGCCGTATCGCAGACCATTACGTTACCTAGCACAGACGTCCTTCCAACATACAGTTGGTAGCCCAGTAATCGAGTTGTATTGTGGGTTCGAATCCTACATCATAGTTTTCAGCACTATACCCCTGCTCGTCAACTTGCGTGAAGCTGTGGAGCGCAGTGTCAAAGCCATGGTTTCAATTCCCTACATGGGAACAATGTCTGAAGCTCGTATCGGTTCCCCTACCCGTTTTACGGCTAGGCTGTTTCTAGAGGTGTAAACTCACAAACTCGACCTGCTAGACTTTGGGCTTTTCTCCTTCATTAAGCTGATATGACCGAAAACTGTTCAACTCACACTCAGTAAAATATTTCTGACAGTAAAATGTCATTCAATCCATGAATTGATTACGTTACAGGAAGTGACGACAAGGGGAACCAACTTGTGACAAGCTGCGGGAGTGCCCGCCCCTTTGGGTTTATACGCACTTCCGAGAACTCGGCTTACATCAGCTCCTCGCTGAAGGTGTTAAGCCACAACAAAATAAGAGAAGGATTCAGGATCAAATATTACTCCACATATAAATGTAAGTGAACACAAATACAAGCTACATATTTTATTCATTCACCAATAATCACTGTAATGGTATGTAATTCGCCATGTTTTTGAGGATGGCGTTTTTGTCTCTTGGTGAACGCCTCAATATACCAACACTAAAACGGTGCTGTGTATATAAGCGGATCTGGGACAGACAAACCAGTGACTGATATTATGACGCTCTCGGGGTCTTTAAAACTGACCACCGATCCATTTTGTCCCCTCGTCCCGGAAAGTTTGCTGGCGGCCTCTTCCAATCCGGAATCCCCACGGGTAGATTTTGGGAAAGAATGTGATGGCATTATAACGCCCCTGAAGTGAATGCTTAATTTACTGATTAAAATAAATCAGGGCACATTTGTGCTTCATATCAACAACAGGCCCTGTGTTCAAGTTATTATATGCTTCAATTCAATATATGCAACCGTCTTGTTACCTGTTACAATCAGTGTTATTTTTGACTGAACAAATAGTTTTCCCCGCGGTGTAAATAGAATACCTACAAAGTCAGAGGAACAAGAAAATTATTTGAACTGGCCTTACACCAAAACACGATATAATGCTTGTTACAGATGACTACGAGGAATATCACAAAGAAGCTGTAACTGCTCGATCCTTTGTTTGGATTCCATCCATGACTAAAGATGTTCAAAGGTGAGTGGTCAGATGACCCCACTGACTGGTCTCCTTGTTGGTGTGTTATGTTCACACGTCTCCTCGATCTATTTGTTCTCCCTCTGTTAAATAATAACGTTTATTTTTTTAGAAACAGAATGCAATTCCAAATTACCCCTATAATACGTATTAGTTATTTTTCCCTTAAAGGAGAAGCCCAGCAAACTATATGCGACCAACACAATACATCACGTGCAGTGAACAACTGTTTGGGTCATGATCAGCCAAATTAATTCTCAGCATTTTCTGGAAAAAATTATCACATGCTGACCACGTGGGATGAAAGCCCTAATCGTGCAGATTTTAGACGTTCATCACGTTGGTGAAATTATAACGCGCTCACGGTGCTGACAAACCTAGAAACATCGTCAGGGTGAATCTTGGAGCCATCAACCATACATTACTGGCCCATCGGCCGGCAAATTTCACCGCAAAGAAGAGTCTATTTTCAGCGGAAATGGCCGATCTTGTTCAGAGAGATTTCTGGCCGGCCTAAGGGACGCAACTCTGCCTAGCGAATGACGGCGCCGCAGCCTCCTGGGCAATCTATATCTGATTGTCACGTGATTCTGAACTGGCGATTTGGAGCATTCCGTACCATGCTCATTTGGGAACAGAAGAAAATGTCATTTGGTTAGAACCCCGGATATAATTATCAACAGCTGAATAAATTGTTAATACCTCACATTAATGTTTTCTACATTTCAAGACCGGTGATCAACATCCGAGCTGATGTCGAAGGGCGATGTATCCACATCGAGGCTCAAGATAAATGGCGGCACCAGATCACAATGTCCTTCACAGAATTTGTAGATGTTTTTGATGGTATGAATTTTCAGAGCTTTCACAAATAAAATCATCTGATTAAATTATTCACGATTCTATTGCCACTGAGTGATTCATTCACTGAATATATATATTTCAATAAATGCCTTTCCACCGGCGTGATATTGATAGAATATAGCTAAAAGCGGCACAAAACCATACTCATTCACTCCCTCTAAATGTCTACTCTATGTCGTGGAGTTGGGGTAGCCTTGTGGATATAAATATCGTTGATTATTCAGACTGGGGTACTGTCCCACACATGGATACAATGTGTGGAACGCATGCTTGATGTCACATTTTGTGATATTGTGCTGGAGCATTGCTGAGTACACCGTGAAGCCTCACTCACTTAGTCTTCTGTGTGAAGTTATTCAATTGTAGTTTGTGAATCTCATAATTGTTTCTGAGCATTAGTTTTTACCTTCAATAGGTACACAGGACGGAGCCCGCCTCATTGGCGTGTGTTCAATACACGACCATCCTGCCATTTCCGGGACTGGTTCCACGTTGAAAATCAAAGTCAAGACACCAGTACGGGACGATGGTTTCTGGCTTGTCATCGACACCACACGTAAGTCTGTGTCAGCTGCCAGTGATCACCATCTACATGCAGTAAACTACGGTTATAACGAACAGGCTTATAACGAACTTACGGATATAACGAACTTACTTTTTTGGTCCCAACTATTTGCTGTAGTTATGCTGTGTATATGCTTATAACGAACTACGGTTATAACGAACTAAAACTAGTAGTCCCTTTGAGTTCGTTATAACCGTACTTTACTGTTCATTAATGTGAAGTTTACACGATATACGGCTTTTCAATTGGACGAGAGGTCGGTCACATGATCGCAAAATTGACGTTCATTAGTGTATGAATGACATAATTTGACGGTCTAAGATTTTAACGAGACTGTATTCTTGAAATGATGTAAACAGACTACTCCCACATCCCTGCATCTTCCCTCTTTAACTCACTTGCCTCGGGAAGATGACATCCCCGGGGCAACTCCTGGGAGTTCACAAGCACAAATATATGTATACAGAAGGGCTGTTTCTGATCATTTAGAAATTTAATCTTGAACTCAGCGTTTTAGCATACAATAAGAAACGTCGGAGAGTTTTACTGCATGCTCGTTCACGAATATCCTCGCTACGACCCATTCCAGTGAACAAAACGAAGATATGCATACCATCAAACTATCGTATACGTGAAGTATCAGTATTGGTATGGCCATGGGCACCGACACATTACTTCTTCACAGTAGGAAAATAGCATTGGAGACATTGGGATGTCGTTGCTGTTTCTGGTCACTTAATATAAGGAACTGCAATGCAATCACCGTATCATGTTGGGTTTCAGAAAACTGTAACGGAGACACCGAGATAATCACCGTAGCAAACTCCGTCCAGAGGTTGACCTTCCCGACTACGCGGATGAAACTGAACAACAACTTCCCCAGGTAGGTTAAGACATGCATAGTGTCTCTGTCTGTGTTCAGTTCCTGGTTCTGGTTTGGATCCCTACGTGCCCTAATACAACTGAAATGCTGTTCAAAGAAGCCCATAAAACCGATGCCAACTGATATCTGATACTGTTCGATACGAACTGCAAGAACAACTTCCCCAGGTAGGTTGAGACATGTATAGTGTCTCTGCCTGTGTTCAGTTCCTGGTTCTGGTTTGGATCCGTACGTGCCCTAATACAACTGAAATGCTGTTCAAAGAAGCCCATAAAACCCATGCCCACTTTTCGATACGAACTGCAAGAACAACAATTCTTCCATATTTCGAACTTGAATACGTACAGTTTCTATGTTGTTTTGTAAGAAAATGTATTGACCGTACCTTTTAACGCTCCGTCAATGAACTGAACGACTCGCAATATTTGGAAAGTGGCAGTTCTACTTGCCGAAACGGACTCGCATATTGTCCTTATAGATTTTTTTACGAGGTGGAACTTTTCGTAAACAGGATCGGGTAGTCACATTCAGGCTCGCTAAGGATGATACATGCAACTGTATTTCAGTTGGAAAGAGCAATACTCATGATGTCAATCACTGGATTGTCTGTTTCATGCTCGATTATTTACAGTCCGCAGTCAAAGAAGGTGTAGCAAACCTTCATGACATGATAAATATACACCTTTTCTTTGATTTCTCTTCAGCAACACCAACTGCAAATGGAGGCTGCGCACAAATGGCAACAGGGGTCTCACGTACCTGGAAGTGTATGATTTGTTATTGTCCATGACAACATGTGATGAAAACTATCTAATGGCTTCGAGCGGTAAGTAAGTGTGGCCTCTGTGTGAAGAGGTGAGGTGAAATGGTGTTTAACGTCGCGTTCAAGATTACTGCACTTATATAGCGAAGTGCATGCACGTGTGTGTGTGTATGTGTGTGTGTGTGTGTGTGTGTGTGTGTGTGTGTGTGCTTGAACTAGTCCGGACTGATGCCAATTTTATAGTGCTAGTCCACTAAGATACCTTGCCGCAGCTTTACATGAATACCCCACTCAGACACAGATATTGACTCCGAGCCGACCATTCCTTGTTTTAGCCCCTTAATGCCGAGCGCCAGGCTGGGTAACAACTAGTACCATCTTGTAACGTCTTTTGGTATGACGCGGCCGGGGATCGAACCCCGGACCTTCCGCTACCGGGGCAGACGCTTTACCACCAGACCACTCTATAACTATATAGGAGGAAATGAGTATACGTGTCAATGCCATTGTAAGGTGTCCGATAACGTTCGACTGTGACTGATCAGAAATATCTGCACTGCTGGAATAGCTCAAATGTTTCTCTAATATCTGACTAAGTTAGTAGTAATTAGTAGGTTACAGTGTGAGCTTTACAAGCTGCATTAATTAAACAGACGACAGCTAAAACGATATTTACTGCATTGCAGATATGCTATCGTTCACAGTAGTTTTGCTAGTGGGTATGCAATACCAATATCCTTAATCTTGACACCCCTTGTGCTTAATAAAAGATAAACGCACACTCATTTTCATTATCGCCGAGAGGCGATGTAATTGCAATAGTAATACCATCTACTTCGATTTCAGACAACGATCAAACACAAGAAATCAAGACATGGTGCAATACTCAACACGGAAATGTAACCTCCCTCGGTGACATCTTTCTCATGGTCGAAGTCAATAACTTCCGGTCCGAACGGAAGTTCACAGCCAAATTCTGGCGGGAGTCGGGCTGTGAGTTTTCCAATCACTTCCGTCTATTTGTGCATTTATTTCAAACTTATTCCTATAATATAGAACTACACTTTCTATCAACTACATTTGGCACTTGAGGTGTTGTCCTCCCTATTTTGAGGGCTAGTGGCAGCGTCGCTGCATCAAACATCACGGGAAGGGTAAACTTGAGTAGATCATTCGAAACGCCCGGAAACATGTTGACAAAGGTAACTGATAGTTTCCATGTTCAAGTGAAGATGCATCATTCGTTCTAAATATGCGTTTGACGGTCCTGTGTTCTAGACAGCTGTGAGGACAGGAAGCTGTCCGCATCTACTCAATGGAACTACCTGACTTCACCTGGATTTCCGGCCAACTATCCAAAGTGAGTGTCTCACTCGTGGCAAAATGTGCTGCAAAGTAATGGTAAACTCAGCATTTGTTTTAAAGATCAATCACACTTCTGGCGTACTAAGCCACGGTAAATAATGAGTAGTTCTTTTTTCGCCGCGTTAAGCACTACTCTAACATGAACAACGGCAGCTGCAGAAATAACATAACATTACAGAAATACAATTACTGATAAAGTGACTTATACAATGTCATTGCATTCAATATGTATTTCAACAGCTGTACAATAGTAGGTTTATGGTTAGATGACATCAGACGAACAATGGATTCCAGTGACGGATTTACAAAGAATTTAGGATCAATGTATCGATATCTTAAATCATTAAAAGCAGGGCATATAAGTGCAAAATGATAATCATTTTCCGCTTGCAGAAGCAGCACCAGTAGCACAAACCTATAATATAAATAGTTTCTGGTTGTGAGATTTAATGAAACATGTAGTAGCAGTAGCAAAGTTTACGTGAGTGAGTGAGTGAGTTGGGGTTAACGCCGCTTTTAACAGTATTCCAGTTATATCAAGGCGTGTCAGCTTAATGTGGGAGGAAAGCCCGAAGTGATGCAGGTCTAAGACGTTTACCACTTCGGTGAAACCCACGAGCACGGGTATGGTGCTGACAAACCTAGAAACATAATTGGGGCGAACCGGGATTCGAACCCACAATCATAGGTTTCTGGCGTGCCCAAGGGACGCAACTCTGCACAGCGAATCGCGGCGCCTTAGACGACTGGGCCACCCGTGCCCCCAGCAAAGTTTAAGGGCGAACTTAGGCCACAGGAAGGTCGATTTGAATGTTCTCTCATTCATGGATGGATTATCTCCCACAGCAACGCCAACTGCAGCTGGGTGATCAGCAGTCGGCTCACCACAGATAACATCAAGCTGGAGTTCATACAGATTAATACACACAGCTGCGACCATGACGTCATCAACGTGTACGAGGGTGCGTAATGCTGAACTCTTGAGAAATCTAAATACGTATTGATCAGGAGGAATGTTAATATGAACAAATGACTATTAATGATTAGTTTTCCGTTTTGAGATGCGTCAATGTGACTCTGCTAAAAGTGCTATTGGCATAGATGGCACACTCTAAGCAATCAATTTGTATTTCGAATAACATGCGAAAAATAATTGTTCAAGTAGGTACTGGAAAGTCCCAGTCGAATTCTCGCCGAAATACTTACAGAATATGTGAACTGCATAAAAATCGTAGAATTTGCCTTTTTAAATTAAATACACTATTTTTCATTTCTTTAAAAACATTTCTGTCGAATTTTGCACTCTCATGATGCCCAAACATTTAACATGCGATTCAAACATACAAAATATGAATCCTACAATAATAAAAATAATACATAAATAATTCTCACTTTTAAACGTTCTTGTGGTATTATGACAACATAAGTTGACATGTTAAACCAACCCGGAAATGTCTAAATGCAAGAAATTAAAATGAAGTTTATACTTATGTTTTTACCTCAGAATTTTGACAATTTTTCCGCCGAGTTCTCCAATAGGCTTGATCACTAAGTATGATGTTTTCAACTTAAGGTACCTCAACCAGTCAACTCCGAGGCAAGATGTGCGGGTCAGGGTATGCGACCTCTACACTTCAGTCCTTTGGCTCAAGCCTTTATATAACTTTCACGACGGACAGTACCATTACCGACACGGGCTTTAAACTAGCTTATTACAGCGTCCATCCCTCAGGAGGTAAGCACTGTCTTTGTACATGCACTGTTGATGAGCCTGTGAAACTATGCGGTCCTCAAACCCGTTGCCTCCCTTTGTTAGCCTATGAAACGTACTGAAAAGTGTTCATGAGAACCTCGTTAATTTGGAAACACCTCATCTCATGTCATCATCATTATCGTATTCATCCGCAAACCGAAACTTTCCTGATATATCATAGTGTGTTTGTTTCTGGTGTTGAATTGTCGTAATAAAACAAATTCCGGCAAACGAAATATATACAGTAAACTACGGTTATAACGAACATGCTTATAACGAACTGACGGATATAACGAACTTACTTTTTTGGTCCCGACTATTTGCTGTAGTCATGCTGTATATATGCTTATAACGAACTACGGTTATAACGAACTAAAATCAGTAGTCCCTTTGAGTTCGTTATAACCGTACTTCACTGTACAGACGTATATATATATTTCGTTTGCCGGAATTTGTTATATATGTATTATATATTCAGTTATATTTGAAAATATAAGATCGCTATTACTCTTAATGCCGGAGGGGCGGTCGGGTAGCCTAGTGGTTAAAGCGTTCGCTCGTCACGCCGAAGACCCGGGTTCGAATCCCGACATGGGTACAATGTGTGAAGCCCATTTCTGGTGTCCCCCGCCGTGATATTGCTGGAATATTGCTAAAAGCGGCGTAAAACCAAACTCACTCACTCACTCACTCTTAATGCCGGAAATACTTTCAATCTGGCTCAGTGAAGCCAAGTAGGATTAGCAGAGTAATATAGTGAAGATGCGCCACTCGTCATGTAAACATCAACTTTGTCAGTGAGTGAGTTTTAACGCAGCTCTGAACAGTATTCCAGTTGCATCATGGCGTGTCAGCTTGATGTGGGAGGAAAGCCCGAAGTGATGTAGGTCTCAGACTTTTGCCACGTTTGTGAAACCCATAACTCATGAGCATGGTTGTGGTGCTGACAAGCCTAGAAATATAATCGGGGCGAATCGGGAGTCAAGCCCACAATCATAGTTTTCCGGCGTGCCCAAGGGACGCAACTTTGGGCCTTAGACGACTGGGCCACCCGTACTCATGGGTTTGACTGAATAAATGGCAAGAGATTTGACGTTGCTTGACGGATTGAAGCGTCATATATTGTATTCATGAGTGATGTCGGACTCGGGCCTTCAGCCTGATGAGCGAACACCTCAACCACTGGGCTACTCTACCGTCTCTTGCTTTTAGACATGTAGTGTTAGGTTTTGTCTACACAGAGATTGGTAAAGAATCATTACGATGACATGACATAGTTAGGTCACGTGTCACTTTAGATCATCAAGCTTTTTGGGAATTTCTCGATGTCTTTCTTTAACAGCAGTTAAAACTAGCAGTGTACATTTAACAAATCTAGTGATGTAGATGCATTTCTGGATGCGCGCTTACAAGGGCGATCAGGTTAAAATTGTCAAAAAGGGCCTACAGGTGACGGTAACTACTAAGCACAGAATTAGTTCTAATATCAGATAACTGACACGAATAACGTGTTTTAAATCCAAAATCATCTGTATTTCCAGAGACTCCCGATGTTGTAAGGATCCCGGCCAGCGAAGACATCGCGACACTAAACTCACCGGACTACCCGTTGTCGTACCCAAGGTAAAGTATACACTTTGTATCTACATTTACCAAATACAGTAAACTACGGTTATAACGAACACGCTTATAACGAACTGGTGGATAGAACGAACTGGTTTTTAGGTCGCCATTTGCTGTATCTCTGCTGTACATATGCTTATAACGAATTACGGTTATAACGAACTAGAATTTGTGGTCCCTTTGAGTTCGCTATAACCGTAGTTTGCTGTAACGCTTTCTCTGTTATAATCTATAGTGGACCTCAGTAAATCCTGCTTTCAATAAAATCCCTCACAATACACTGCGGGTAGACGCTGTATACATCGGTTGTATTTCCAGGAATATGAGGAGGTTCTGGGTGATTACAGCGTCAAGCGACGACGTGGTGACCGTGCAACGTTCAACAACGTACGGGTCCAGCAAGAGACAGTGCAGAAACAGACATGACACCCTAGCAGTCCACGACGGTATGTACTGTGTTGGTCGCCACTTACCTTGTGGACCGCCTCCGTGGCCTAGTGGTAGAGCGTCCGCCCAGAGAGCAGAAGGTCCTGGTTTCGATGCCCGGCCACGTCATACCAAAAACGTTAAAAATATGGTACTTGTTGTTACCCTGGCTGGCGCTCGTCATTAAGGGGCTAAAACAAGGACTCGGGGTCAGTATACTGTGTTTGAGTGGGGTATTCATGTTAAAATTGCGGCATGGTATCTCAGTGACCTAGCACTATAAATCGGCATCTTGGACGCGACATTAAACCCCATTTCACCTCACCTCACTTACCTCCGGGGCGGAATAGGCCCACAGTACCACATATTTTGTAACACTGACAAATGAGGATGGTTGCAAAGAGTGACTTGGCTGATGTTGAGCGTTTATGGCCAGGCGGCTGCTAGCTACTGGGTTGCTAGACTCGATAATTTACCAGCCTTTGCAGATCGTTTGTAATTCCGTCTGTTATTCCGTTAACTTCAACCTGTTTTCTGAAACGCAATACGGGATGAACGTTCAGTCCTGACTTCATTATGATTAAAGTAAAGGATCCAGACCAAAATGTTTTAAATAGCTTACAAAAGAACGGCATAGTAAATAATCTTTTTCGTAACATCGTCTACAATGGCCAACGTCGAATTTTTACTTAATTAAGGCCAATGTGAAGGACACGATTTCGTGTGCAAAGGTGTCGGCGCTTCTGTAGATGGTGTTCAAAAAACACCAAATTTCACTTCTTTTGAAATGCTAAATGGATATAAAGGGAGATATCTTGCATCAATTGTTCATCTGAAAACTGTTTTCTGTTTCTTGCTTTCAATGCAACCGATGTTTGTATTGATGCCCCATGTATACCTCCATAGATTTACAGACCTCATTCGCAGCTAATCGATAAAACATTGAACCAGGGTTTTACCTTGATTTAAAAAAGTGGGGATCCAGGGAAACCCTAATTATACATATTAACGGTCCTTGCCCGCAATATGAGAGTCCTGTAAAGTAAAGAAATGGTACAATGTACTGTACGTACTTTAGAGCCTGCTATGAATCAATGATCATGTGGACTTGCAGTGGTCATGATTGATGGATGAAATGTTAGACGCCCATTACTGCTCTTGATGTACTCTGGGTACAATGAATATGATTGTGCGTCCCTTGGGACGCAGTTTATTCAAGAATCTTTTTCTGCATTTGTGTATCGCGTAACCCCTGGAAAGTCTCTATTTACAGCAACAATTGTTTATATGTTGAACAAGTAGGTGAACTAAAAACATAGTTTTATCAGTCTGAATATGCCTTCATTCTGTACATTAAATGTACATACCTGTCACATCCACCTGGGGATTCATAGGAACATTATACCATGGTTGTAAAAGGTGAGGTGAAATGGGGTTTAACTGCCCGTTCAAGGTTATAGCGACGTGGATGTACGTGTATGTGTGGCTGCTTGTACTAGCCCGGGCTAGCTCCGGTTTTGTAGTGCTAGCCCGCTGAGATACCGTGCCGCAGTTTAACATGGATACCGCACTCAGACACACATTCCTGACTCCGAGCCGACCAGTCTTTATTTTATCCCTTAATGCTGAACGCCAAGCAGAGTAACTACAAGTACCATCTTTTAATGGCTTTTGGTATGACGTGACCGGGGTTCAAACCACCGACCTTCCGCTCTCCGGGCAGACAATCTATCCACTAGACCACAGAGGCGGTCCATGGTTTAAGTGCCAGGTCAACCGGATTGGGTATTCGTCACCACTCGCCCCTTTCCGTAACCTGCAAGAAAACTCGTCCCCCTATCGATGAATGTTATGTGCGGAAATACCACAAGCCAATCAGAATGCGCGTATGATTTCAAGTTCTTCGTCAAAGAATCCCTCAGAAATAATTTTTGATTTTACATATGTCTTGGATCTAAAACTATACCCAAGACACAGTTAGATGTGTTCAATCATACTGTATAATTCCGCACGTCCCAATGTGCTTTAAATTGCATCGGAAATATATACAACGCATGGGAAAATAATACGTGAACCATTACGCAACGAGTTGACAATTGTTTTAGGTATGCCCGTTTGCGCTAAGACGGAACCCGGTCGCAAAAATTGCCATGAGAGGGGCACGAGTCGCTATACGGCTTGTCCCGTAATAACACGAGGTGGTCACGAATGCCTGATAGGGTTGTTTGGCCCAGTTACCTGGCTGGTAAGGCGTCATTGTGCTCCAGTGGAGTGGATGATGGCTTATGCTTCACTGACAGTTCAATCTCATTAAAATCAGATCTAAGTTGTCGCTGCCGCGAAACAAAGATCTGAGGACATCCCATTACGGATCACGTCAGAACGACCTTTCGCAAACTTTGACAGACCATTGAAATGACTAACAAGAAGTTGGCATCAGCCAATTAGAAAGCAGCTTCTTCGAGCTTTACGGCACTTGTTTCATCCTGCCGACTTCCATTACAGACTATGCTTGAAAAATATGTTGACATAGTTCTCGCTTTAAACATCAATTATTTACTCACTCCCAGCATGTGGTTTCTCCATCTTTTTACACAGGTGTAAGCGAAACAAAGCCTTTGCTGGGCTATATCTGTCACATCGACCTTCCAGTTGACGCACATATGGTCTTCCAAAGCAGTGGACAATTTTTGTATCTGTCCCTCTTCTCATCTGACAGCATCGTCGAATCCGGCTACGTCGGAACTTTCAGCGTCACCTATTTCAGCGGACAGGGTAATTTCTCTTACATGTTGTTACCAGCTTAATCATATTTTACAGGAAGTCACTGGGGTCTTCAAAACATGTCATGTTATCCGTAGTTCGGGAAAAGCGGGGTGCCGTTCTCTACATGGAATATTTAAGTACGAAAGGTATTCACAATGTACAGGTACAACGCAACTCTAGCAACATAGCCCGTACAGCCAAGAACAATATACATTGTCATAATAGAACTTCAGCTCACTGAGGGTGACTTCCACAGTGTTAAATCCGGTAACTTCACAATATCAGATAATGTCGTGTACAACCTTTCGCGAACTATGACCGACCAATGAAATAACTAACAGGAAGTTAACATTAGCCACTTAGCAAGCAGCTTTCTTAGCTTAGCGGTACCAGTTTCAAACTTGCGACTTCCATTCCAGACTATGCTTTTAAAAGTATTTTGAATAAGTCATACAGTCCGTAACAGTTGTTTTGTGTTGAGCTTTAGAAGTTACATGATTAGACAACATATTCCGTTAACAATGTAACATAACAATACGAATATTTTTTTTATTTTTTTTTTATTACGTGTTTGTATCGTTATCTGTCGCGTAGTTGTCCGATTTTCGATCACGCACTTTGATATTAGTTTCGTTTATCCGACATACTCGTTAATCCGTCATAATCACATGCAAACAACAATGTCGGATTAACGGGACTTGACTGTACTTTACTAGTCCTAGCTTCACAATGCGTAGTGCATAAGGTATTCTTCAGGCTATGTGCTTTCTGAATTCTAAAGATGCTATAGCGGATGATGATACGAGGACCCTAGGTTTTCGGTATAGTCCCATGGAGGAGATACATATTTCACAACATGTTTCATAAAAGAATTATTTTGTAGTATTTGGCATGACTGCGTGTCTCAATGGATGCCTATGATAGTATTAAAACTCTTTAGTATCCTATGTGTATATTTCGGGCGAAACGCTGTATTACCGAAAGATGGCATCAAAGTTTAGTACCGCGACGCATAGCATTCTTAATTATAATGTAGGGACAGGACACCAATGTAGGCATACCGAACATACATATCCATTATATTTGCGACCTATCTTTCTTTTAAGCTGCTTCTCCTTCTAAGATAAACGGATTTATTATGATCAGGAACAGTTGTCTACCGATCCCTATTTAAGTTTGACTTTCATTTTATGTGTTTTTTAACACGATAAAGACAATACTGATGAAAAAGTATAGAAATATTATATTCATCACACGACCGAATGTTTTTATGAGATACTGTCAAATACACCATTTCTAAAACATTTTTTTTCCACCTTCGACTACATATTTATTAAATCGGTAAAGGAACTAATAGATTGATTAACTGTGTCCCCACCGCGGTCAGCTAAGCTCTGATGTAAGCCTATATGTATCTTTTCCAGCTCAGCGCGCCTGTCTTCCTGGTGAGATGGAGTCATTGCGCACACAGGCCTACTGGCAGTATCTGAAGTATCCGGTGAGGGGAGAGTATCCAAGGTAGGTCACCTCAACAGCCGCGGTCGACGTTGATGTAATTCACTAATCCATTACATCAATGCCATTATATCAACGTGAGCGTAGAATTACCCACACTTTTAAGGAATTAATTGTATTATATATTCATATGTACAGAGGCTTTTTTCCCGTATGTATGAGTGAGTGAGGATGGTTTGACGCCCCTTTTAGCAATATTCCAGCAATATCACGGCGGGGGACACCAGAAATAGACTTAACACATTGTACCCATGTCGGGAATCGAACCCGTGTCTTCATCGTGACGAGCGAACGCTTTAACCACTAGGCCACCCGACCGCCCCCTATCTATGAAACCGATGTATGTAGATACACATATATGTTGTAAGGATAGTGCAAATCACGGCCTCATCCTTGCTTATTTCTAAACGCGTTTACCAGTAACACATTTGTACCGTATATAATGTACTTGTTAATGTACTCATAATGTACTCAAAATGATGAAGTACTAATGAATCTATTAGTTTTAAGTTGTCTTTACTCCTGGCTTTCAAGATTGTATTGCTATATTAAAATTGTATTTGAAGACATAAAATAAAATTTGATTTATAGGTTGTTATCTATTAGTACAAGTTTCCGTTAATGTTGGGTTCGAATCCCACCTAAGGACGATTATGATTCTTGATCTGTTCGCACCATAACGGTGTTTCTTGGTTTCGTCAAAGTCGTATAATGTGTTACCCCTCGACCTATTACGTCGCCACGGGGGTACCCGGAAGTAACGAGAGACTGTAGTTGCATGATCACAAGGCAGACATAAGCCTTGGGCTTGTTTAGTCACATTTTAAATCACTCCACAGATTCAATTATATATATCAGCTGGTTACCTGGCAAAAACTTGAGCTCGCTTTTATATCGAAACAAAGTGTAATACCGTAGACTGCACTCGTGACAATCTTGTTTTGTAAATGTTGCTTCCAGACATGCCCACTGTGCGTGGAAACTGTGGACCGACAACCCCAACTCCACCATCGTTGTGGAAGTGACGGTATCCAACCTGGAAGTGTCTTACAGCTGCAAATACGACGCAGTCCGGGTTTTTGATGGTATGCCCTACCCCCTTCTTCTAAATATGTTAATACATAGAATGAACGGATTTCCGTTATGTTTACACAATCCTTGATATGTCTTCACAGGAGGATATTCGAGGACGCAACTCTGCCCACAGCTTTGTCTTTCCAACTCTCAACACCAATTAGAAATCGTTGCAATACGAATATAACGATGCATATGCATCTGAAATTATTACCAGTGAAGTCTTTAAGAGGTTAATAAATTAAATTGTAAACCTATACAAGGGGCATCTTATCAGTTGTATGTTTAACTGTACATGTTTGATAGCAGTACATGTTTGATGGCAGTACATGTTTGATGGCAGTACATGTTTGATGACAGTACATGTTTGATGGAGTACATGTTAGATGGATTACATGTTTAATGGAGTACATGTTTAATGGAATACATGTTTGATGGCAGTACATGTTTGATGGCAGTACATGTTTGATGGCAGTACATGTTTGATGGGAGTACAAGTTTGATGGTAGTACATGTTTGATGTCAGTGCATGTTTGATGGAGTACATGTTTGATGGCAGTGCATGTTTGATGGAATACATGTTTGATGGAACACATGTTTGATGGAGTACATGTTTGATGGCAGTTCATGTTTGATGGAATACATGTTTGATGGCAGGACATGTTTGATGGCAGTACATGTTTGATGGCAGTACATGTTTGATGGAGTACATGTTTGATGTCAGTACATGTTTGATGGAATACATGTTTGATGGAGTACATGTTTGATGGCAGTAAATGTTTGATGGCAGTACAAGTTTGGTGGCAGTACATGTTTGATGGAATACATGTTTAATGGAATACATGTTTCATTGAATACATGTTTGATGGCAGTACGTGTTTGATGGCAGTACATGTTTTATGGAGTACATGTTTTATGGAGTACATGTTTAATGGAGTACATGTTTGATGGAGTACATGTTTGATGGCAGTACATGTTTTATGGCAGTACATGTTTTATGAAGTACATGTTTGATGGAGTACATGTTTGATGGAGTACATGTTTTATGGCAGTACATGTTTAATGGAGTACATGTTTGATGGAGTACATGTCTGATGGCAGAACATGTTTGATGGGAGTACATGTTTGATGGGAGTACATGTTTGGTGGAAGTACATGTTTGATGGAATACATGTTTGATGGCAGAACATGTTTGATGGCAGTACATGTTTGATGGCAGAACATGTTTGATGGGAGTACATGTTTGATGGCAGTACATGTTTGATGGCAGTACATGTCTGATGGCAGTACATGGTTGATGGCAGTACATGTTTGATGGAATACATGTTTGATGGCAGTACATGTCTGATGGAGTACATGTTTGATGGCAGTACATGTCTGATGGCAGTACATGTTTGATGGCAGTACATGTTTGATGGCAGTACAAGTTTGGTGGCTGTACATGTTTGATGGAATACATGTTTAATGGAATACATGTCTGATGGCAGTACATGTTTGATGGGAGTACATGTTTGATGGAATACATGTCTGGTGGCAGTACATGTTTGATGGCAGCTCATTTTTTCATTTTTGTTTTATTTTAAAGTTTTGCTTATTTACATGTATAATCGGAAGCAGATTGCCATCACACTTGTACTTGTTAATTTGGTACATTCACATACAGTTGTGTTTCTGTGATCTGCCTAGTCCTGAGGTGTACACTTGGTTTCTAGGTTACAACACCCTGAGTCCCGAGACGGGGGTATTCTGTGGCAAGCAGACCCCCACGTTCTACAGCAGTGGTCGCTACCTCTTCCTGTTGTTCGTCAGCGATGACTTGAACCAGGGTAGCGGCTTCACCCTCAGATACAGAGTAAAACCGGACGTCGAGGAGCCAGACGGTATGTACTCCGGGTGTCTCACAATACAAGACACGTTGTTACAGATAGTCATCGATTCCTACATAAAGCCTGCAAGTCCTGAAATATCGAGTAGCCAAAATATGTCACAATGGAATTCCCTTTCAGCACACTGCAGCAGTATACCATTTTCATTACGCGTATCGACCAGTGAAGATCTGGGGTAGCATTGGTCTTCAGTAACCCATTCTTGACGTATAAGTCGACTATGCTTGTCGTCAGAGGCGACTAACGGGATCGGGTGGTCAGGCTCGCTGACTTGGTTGATGCATGCCATAATATTCAAATTGCGTGGATCGATGCTCATTATGTCAATCATAGGATTGTCTGGTCCAGAGTCGATTATTGAAGACCGCCGTCATGTAGCTGGAATATTGCTGAGTGCGGCGTTAAATAACAAACAAACAAACATTAAGCGTATCGTGCAAAACAAACAATTTACCCAAGTGAACATTGTACCACTCTGTATTTTTGTTACACAACGCTTACACCCAAGCCGTTTAAGAAATGGCCGCTCGGTGGCGACCTTAAAGTGTTTAGGTCATGAAAAAGTCACCTTTGTCATAAGACTCCTATGGCTTGAGTCAATACTCTGGATGTCCATATTGCTGACTGGCACAAAACACATTCACTCATTCATTTGTCTGTGACAGGATGACGTGTTACTCAAGCTAGGCTGCCTGTGACCGTTGCTCACGTTATTGACCATCAATCTATCTAGTCACCACCGCTCGATCACTGCATTATGTTAATGCTTTGGAATACATTTAAATTCGTTCTATGTTTTACAAATTCGATGTTTTAAGGGTTCAGATATTTAGTTTCTTTACTCCCCAAACCGCGTTATGATAACCAATCAGTACTGTAGTATATATTCATTTTCTCTTTCAGCCGAAAAGCAGAAATCAGATGGTCTACTTATAGGCGCGACTGCAGCAGGAGTCTTCCTTCTCATCGTTACAATCACATGCTTTTTCTGCATCCTGGGCAAATTGAGACGTAAGCCACCACAGCCACGACAGTCAGCTCCGCCATCACACACGGACCCCCCTGCGTACAGCCGCAGCAACAGCACCGTCTACGTTGTGTCGCCTATATTTGTAGGTGCTACCAACCCGACAGCCTCGGACCCGCCACCTTATCCCGGTCTCACTAACCCAGCGTACTCCAGTTCGCTGGATGACCTTCCGCCTTCTTACCCTGGTAATGAGCACGCACAACCACTGAGCCCACAATTCCATGCGCCACCTAGGGGGAATGAACACGTGTATGACGACGTCTTTTCAGACGTGCCCAGCAACCTCCCGGCTCCACCCCCGTATGCAGTTACAGATACAATACCACAAGAAAGCCCTCCGGAGTACGAGACTGTCGTGTCCCAGGCGCCGCAGAAGGAAACAGACATGGGAAAATACTCTGGAACGCAGATGCACCAACAAGCAAGATCTCGATCTGATCAGGGAGAACATGGCCGAGGTAGCACATCGTCTCCGCGTTCACATCCACTAACGTATGAATTGCTCGGACCCGTTTAAGTCCGAATGTTAAGTGTGAATGTTTTGTGACAAAAACATGCTCAATACCATTTCTTGTCCAGTCTTTCATCAGAGCTACGGAGGAATCATCACTGCTTCGGCATTTCAAATCGTATTCAAAGACAACTTACGATCTGACTTCTGTTTTAAGTCTGCCGTTCATCCAAAAGTATTTGGATGAGATAATGTTTAAAGCATTAGTCTGTCAAGGATCTGCTGTTCATAGTACCCTCTTATCATGACCCTTGGTCTGTCAGCAACGTACCCGTGCTCAAGTTAACGTTTCCTTCCACATAAATATTTTCCAAGGGGGCGTTAAACACAAATCACCTTATAACTTATCCACAAGGTACATACGATCTTCTGAAGTAGCTGGATGTCATCTGGAATCTCCAATGCACGTAGAGGGCGCGTCGAAGTGTAATGATTCTCCCAGTGTAATGATTTTTTATGTTTATGTTCTATGCTATTTTAGCACACCGGCTCCCGACTGCTGAGTTGAATATCCCATTTAAAAGGCCAGACAAATGGTGCTTAATGTCATATATATTTTAAATAGGAGCACGTAACCTCCAGCTATATTCCCGGGACCAAGGACTCACGTAAGGCAACAGTTATTCAGCACTGAATGTAAGTCATCCTTGTTGTAGTGCTGTTTATCATATATTTTGTTCGTGTGTATATGATCCCCGATATATTGCTTTTCTATTGTTACAACATTTATTTTTAGATCTGTTTCATTCAAAAGGATTTTATTGACTGATCCATTACTTGAACGTGAGCATAGAATTACCCACACTTTTAAGGCATTAGTTCTATTATATATTCATATGTACAGAGGCTTTATTTCTGTATGTATGAGGGAGTGAGTATGATTTTACGCCCCTTTTAGCAATATTCCAGCAATATCACGGCGGGGGACACCAGAAATAGACTTAACACATTCCACCCATGTCGGGAATCGAACCCGTGTCTTCATCTTGACGAGCGAACACTTTAACCACTAGGCCACCTAACCGCCCCCTATGTATGAAACCGATGTATGTAGATACACATATATGTTGTAAGGATAGTGCAAATCACGGCCTCATCCTTGCTTTTCCTTTGTATGTAGTGACTGCTGGCGGTCTGTTCATTCCTTCTCCCGTGTCATATGTTTCCTGGCTGATACTTACCGTATTCTAAGCTGGGTAACAAACATGTCTATACTTATGCGAAGTCTGTCGGAAATTGTCCACTTCAAAATACCACCTGCTAAAACACGCACCGTACACTTTCTAATGACGTAAATAGTAAAAGTAGTGTTTTATACAGAATTTTGAAACCTTTATTTGTACTCGCCTTTTATACAGGCATTTGTTCATATACTTAACCTAAGGTGTAAACCTAACCGACCCCTGCGCCGATTGTATGAAGTTTACTGAAATAGTATTTTAATCAAGACGTAAGATTTTTATACATCTGTTGATAAGAACCACATATTGGAAGCCTCGCCTAAAGAAAACGTTTAATTTGTGAAAGAGAGTTGGGCTAGTAATGCTAACTTTACCACGACACATGAAAGATGCCATTGTTGACCGATAGGTTTGAGCATTTGAGTTACGCATGCGCCCAATAGATGTATCTGTACCGAATAGACCACAGAATATACCTGCACGAACTGATCATGAACTAATCATGAAATTATCATGTACAAATCATGTACAAACAATTGAAATTCGATCCAATGTTTAAATCCCCTTTCTGTTGTGACGAATCCTTGATTATTCAGTTATATTATATCAATAATTTTATAATTTAATAATTATGAATAAAGTTATGATAAATAATAAACGGATACACTGGACAATCGGGAATGAGTATCTATTTGCATATGAACGCATAATAATACATTGCTATATGCTATATGCAATCACAGCTATTATTCCGGTCGACATGGACACCACACTGAACTGTCTATAACTGAATGAAAGAAAACTCGAGTAGATGTTTTACAATGCATATGATTGTTACCATATAGTGAACAATATTTGATGTGTTTTGGATTGTGTTCTTTGTATTGTATTCGTACACGTTAATGCATACATTATGTATTCTATAGTTATAAGTAAGTAGATATGTTAATATATAAAACGTGTAATTATTTCAAGAATGTGTTGTGCAGGGTATTTGGCTTTTTCAGCGAATATTACGCTTTTGATGACGCATATCTATTGAAACATGCAAGTGATGATTGATTGTGTCAGTACATGACGTGTGTGTGGCATGGATATGAATCAGGTGTCAATACGAATTATTTCAGCATAATAACAAATAGCACATAACATCAAATTTTCACAAATGTATGAATATGTATGTGAAATATTTTTCAATAAAATGAACAATCATAAGACACGTATCTTAAAATTGTCTTTTAAATTTTGAATTTTATGTTCAGATTTTAGTTTATTACTTATATTATCCACAGGTGATGACCTCATCTTCAGTTTTTTAGGACAGTGAACAATAGATGTGCATTATCCATCAGCGTGAATTAAAACATCACACCTTGACTGTTATGCTTAGGAGCGCCCTTATCGAAATACCCTCCCGGATATTCGTCTTCTATTGAAATATAATATTCTTGTTCCTGGCATCAGTAAATGATGTGACGATGTAATACTCAACTGTTTCCTTGATGGCTCAAAGATCAGTAAACACATTTTATTGCACGTTAAAATCAAGGGTATATTATTTATCAACCAACATCCAAGGACCTCTGGTTTTCCATCCCTAAGAAATCAACGTTGAAAGTCCCCTACAAAAGATTGGAAACTTACAAAATTCATTCATTCAGTAAATTCTATTTGTCTTGTAATTTATTCTCAAATGTGAGTGAATGAGTATGGTTTTACGCCGCTTTTAGCAATATTCCAGCAATATCACGGCGGGGGACACCAGAAATGGGCTTCACACATTGTACCCATGTCGGGAATCGAACCCGGGTCTTCGGCGTGACGAGCGAACGCTTTAACCACTAGGCTACCCGACCGCCCCTATTCTCAAATGATTGTACAAATAATTATACTATAGTCAATTATAAATGTTATGAATTAGTATTCCCCTGATGTCAGTTATTGTCGAATAAGACAGATCTGTTAATTCCTTGTTGTGAGAATGTAAATTTCCCATGTAGTGGTAAGGGTAGCCTAGTTGACACAGCACGCCAGAGCGGAACCACGTTCGAGTCTTCACAACACGTGTAGTCCTTTAGTCAACATGGTTGCCGTATAGTTTTGTGTATTGTGACATGACGCTCTGCACACAGCTCAGTTGCCATACTTAAAAGTGGTGATTACCGGGGTAATCAGCTACGAAATGGCTATTCAGATGTTAGTTAAGATATACTGGTAAAGTACAAGGGTTGCTGATTATCATATGATTCCTTTTGCGTTTTCTGAGGTCTATGAAGATCACCTGGTGTCATCACTGATTTTCGGTGATCCATTCATATATTTGTACCGTTATTTTGGCCAGTAGAATCTGTTTCGTCAGATACTTGACACTAGATAATCTCTATCGTTAACGTTTGATATATATTTGATGCAATATTACTGAAATGATAGTGTAACCTCGCTCACTCACTCACTCACTCACTCATTCACTCGCTCGCTCCCTCATTCACTCACTCACTCGCTCGCTCATTCAGGCGCCGGTGCGGCATCATATATCTGCACTTTTTTAATACTGGGGCAAAAACGTGTAACAGCCATACCCCCCAAAGCGTATAGAAAGGATCATTAAAGCTGTTCTGGTCAAGCTTGGCTATGCATTTATCTACCTGTGAAATTTACACCAAAAGTGTGCCCCATGTTGCGGGAGTTTTGTACAATACACGTACTAGATTTGCGTAAGTTACATGGTGTCCACATGTGGTAATGTTGTACTTAAGAAATAAACGTCCACTTTACGACGTCATCAAGTTGTGAGCGCATGTTTGAATTTCCAGAAATGACGCCATGATAGAACAATGTTTTATCGTGAAACAGCTATCTTATATTCACTGATAATTTAACTTATGAGCGTATATCTTCTATTGCATTAAGCGACGGCCTTCACATTATAAGTTATTGTAAAGTGCATACACTAAAGGAGAAATGAAGGGTTGGTATGTTTCGTGGACACCGCAACTTAGCAATTTTACAATATATCAGTTAGTCCAGCTGATAAACCAAAAGGGTAGGAAATGTTCTTCCTTTCCTTTAAAGTTATTTTGTAGAGAAGCTGTTATTAAAAATATATAGATATGGCAAGAGTGAAAGGATGCATATACCTTTTTTGATGTAATTGTGTAAGTTACATATACACTATGGTATTGAAATACTCCACATGCAGCGTTTTCAGTAAATGATGTGTGTTCCGGCTTAACAGGTTAAAGGTACGTGGAATGGTCCCTGAAATTGACGTTGCCAAAGCAACCAGAAACCGGAATTGCGGAATCCGGACTTACCAGGTGTCACTATATATCTCATCTATGCTTTACAAAAGAAAAGGGATAATGGAATATATTTATGTGTATATCCACCGTACGCAAGTGTTATTAATATTTATACTTTTGAGGGGAACAGATGTCGCTTGAATATTTCATTAATATTTTTCATGGATGAACAAGGTATGATCGTATGTGTAAACGTTGACAGTTATATTGTGATATATGCATCCGATACCACGATCAAGGCCTTATCGGTGCCAGGCTTCCTGTGTTCGAATTGTTCATATTCGCATGTATGCGAATGAGTGAATTTTATTTTTAGAACCAAGCAGCAATAATCTAGCTAAATGACGTCGGTCTGGTAACACACACCACTGCCTAGGGCAGACACACCACTTGACAGGCCAGACATATCACCAAAGAGGCCAGACACACGACTGGACAGACCAGACGGACCATCGGAAAGGCCAGACACACCACTCACTAGGGCAGACACATAACTGAACAGGTCAGACACACATGTAAACAGGCCAGACACATCACTGAAGAGGCCAAACACACAAATGAACAGGTCACACACACACCACTGAACAGGTCAGACACACCACTGAACAGGTCAGACACACCACTGAACAGGTGAGACACATCACTGAACAGGTCAGACAAACCACTGCACAGGTCAGACACACCACTGAACAGGTCAGACACATCACTGAACAGGTCAGACACACCATTGAACAGGTCACACACATCACTGAACAGGTCACACACATCACTGAACAGATCAGACACCTAACTGAACAGGTCACACACCTCACTGAACAGGTCACACACATCACTGAACAGGTCACACACATCACCGAACAGGTCAGACACACCACTGAACAGGTCAGACACATCACTGAACAGGTCAGACACATCACTGAACAGGTCAGACACACCATTGAACAGGTCACACACATCACTGAACAGGTCACACACATCACTGAACAGATCAGACACCTAACTGAACAGGTCACACACCTCACTGAACAGGTCACACACATCACTGAACAGGTCACACACATCACTGAACAGGTCACACACACCACTGAACAGGTCACACACATCACTGAACAGATCAGACACATCACTGAACAGGTCACAAACATCACTTAACAGGTCAGACACCTCACTGAACATGTCAGACACATCACTGAACAGATCAGACACATCACTGAAAAGGTCAGACACATCACTGAACAGGTCAGACACACCACTGAACAGGTCACACACACCACTGAACAGGTCACACACACCACTGAACAGGTCAGACACATCACTGAACAGGTCAGACACATCACTGAACAGGCCAGACACCTCACTGAACAGGTCAGACACACAAATGAACAGGTCACACACATCACTGAACAGGTCACACACATCACTGAACAGGTGAGACACCTCACTGAACAGGTCAGACACACGACTGAACAGGTCACACACATCACTGAACAGGTCACACACAGCACTGAACAGGACAGACACCTCACTGAACAGGTCAGGCGCACCACTGAACAGGACAGACACATCACTGAACAGGTCAGACACACCACTGAACAGGTCAGACACCTCACTGAACAGATCAGACACCTCACTGAACAGGCCAGACACCTCACTGAACAGGTCAGACACACAAATGAACAGGTCACACACATCACTGAACAGGTGAGACACATCACTGAACAGGTCAGACACACCACTGAACAGGTCACACACATCACTGAACAGGTCACACACAGCAATGAACAGGACAGACACATCACTGAACAAGACAGACACATCACTGAACAGGTCAGGCACACCACTGAACAGGTCAGACACACCACTGAACAGGTCAGACACCTAACTGAACAGATCAGACACATCCCTGAACAGGTCAGGCACACCACTGAACAGGTCAGACACACAAATGAACAGGTCACACACATCACTGAACAGGTCACACACATCACTGAACAGGTGAGACACCTCATTGAACAGGTCAGACACACCACTGAACAGGTCACACACATCACTGAACAGGTCACACACAGCACTGAATAGGACAGACACATCACTGAACAAGACAGACACATCACTGAACAGGTCAGGCACACCACTGAACAGGTCAGACACACCACTGAACAGGTCAGACACATCACTGAACAGATCAGACACATCCCTGAACAGGTCAGGCACACCACTGAACAGGTCAGACACATCACTGAACAGGTCAGGCGCACCACTGAACAGGTCAGACACACCACTGAACAGGTCAGACACATCACTGAACAGATCAGACACCTCACTGAACAGGACAGACACATCACTGAACAGGTCAGACACATCAATGAACAGGTCAGACACACCACTGAACAGGACAGACACATCACTGAACAGGTCACACACATCACTGAACAGGTCAGGCACACCACTGAACAGGTCAGACACAGCACTGAACAGATCAGACACACCACTGAACAGGTGAGACACATCACTGAACAGGTCAGACACAGCACTGAACAGATCAGACACACCACTGAACTGGTCAGACACATCACTGAACAGGTCACACACATCACTGAACAGGTCACACACATCACTGAACAGGTCACACACATCACTGAACAGGTCAGGCACATCACTGAACAGGTCACACACACCACTGAACAGTCGTCTCTCACGTCTAGCAGTGGGAAACTTTTTTCCACGTTATTTGACTTTTGTCTGCAATCGATTCGACACAACCTTGATTTCAATTTATGGAAAGAAGGTTTAGGGCCCTAGTTGAGTAAAACAGCTAAACATATTTATGACATGGACTGCATAGTTCAGCACACTGAAATACACCAAACGGTATTTTGAGAGTATATTACTGGAATTACCGACATGGAACGACCATTAAGGTCGTTTCGTCAAGTGAACTTGATATCTCCTAGGATGAGATTGGTAGAATCGTAATTAAATCTTAATAACATGTTTCAAAATAACTTCTGAAAAGTTTGAAAAAATATATAGATAAGTCAAAGGGTTACTTCCCATTGTATATAGATTTACTTTGATTTTTTTCTGAAATTATATATTAAAAAAATCTCATTGAGAAAAAAAAATAAGTCTGTTCTTTTAATTATTTGTAATATTTGTGGTTGACAAGTGCGGATAAAAGTAATTATAAAAATAACGCCCCACTAACAACATATACACTGCCGATTACTAATTGTTTATTCACAGGACATGTATATGACAAATTGCATATATTACAGTGTTATTTGCTCTGACGTTTCAGGTAACAGATACATGGCCAAGACGACAACCTCGGTGTTACGTACTCACGAACACGCATGCAGACAAGATGGTGACAACAGACAACATGGTACCATACAGCTTTGTATACAACGGAAAGTAGAAGGATGTAGCTGAGTTTGCCCTGCTGCTGCTCCCTACAAACGGTTTCAACATGTCTCTACACTGTGTAGCGAGTCAATACGCCAAAATCAAAATCGGTTATAGGGAGCAGTACAGACAGACACCGCAGCTAAGCCAGATGTATCCAATTGAAGGATTGGTCAAAGCCAAACTACTTACCCCCCAAAAGTGATGAACATGTCAAGTAAAACAATATTAATGATCCCCCATGTACAAACCACACAATGAATACTCCCTTACTTCGGTAAAGAAATAAAGGACTGGTTCTCGCAAACGCCGGGTAATTAAATGGTTCGAACATTATACACACGGCTGACCGTGGTCCTTCAACAGACACTGCCACCACATCGCGACACCGGGTCTTTAGAAGCACAGTAGTATGCCTATATGGACTTATATCCCTGCACGGACATGATGCATCGTATCTAACATCCAATTCAACTTGAATTTTTCTCCAGGAAAAGAAAATGTCTGTCTACGTTTTGACAGCATCTTAAACTGACAACAAGCGCGTTGCTTATTTTAATTGTTGTCTTTCACAAACCACATGTATTCTTACTTAAGTGTGTGATGGAAACTTCAGACATGCAACCTTAGTAAAAACTGAAAACCCTCGGTGTGCCGGACGTTTCAGTTTATGCCGAATGTTCATCTCCCGGACGATGACAGACTAAGCAAATTCCATATTCCATTTGTCGTGATCCTGGAACATCTTATGGGTAACGCGACGTCCGGATTAACAAGGTAGCACTATATACAGATTACATGAAGTATGTATTTACAATGAATTTACAAAGCTAACCATTTGAAAACCCACCGTGTAATAAGCTGAAGCTAGAATGACTTATAATTGTTTCCTAGCAGATACTTAAATGGTGGGAAATGATCTCGAGATACGTAAAAGTTCCAAATCTATCTTAAAAATGGAAACGTACAATCAGAAAAGGTCACAGACACAAAACATGGAATGCTATTGATGAAAGGGTATCGACAGATAAACACAGAACCTTCATAATGAAGTACACCTCGAAAATGATGGATGATGCTCTTCATGGAACTGAAACGAGCTTCCCTACTCACAACTGCAAAATAAGTCTCAAGGCCTATATAGTACAAGCCATTTGGAAGAAGTACAACTCCCCGAAATCACGTTTTCGATTTCGATTTTCTTTTCTCAGCCAAGCCTTTAGTGATCTTCTTCTTCTGAACATCACTGAAGTTAAAGATTTGGATCATTGCTCTGAGATGGTCGTCCGAATCCTTGTCGGTGCTCAGGAAGTGAAAGAAGGAATCTTTGAGAAACCTGAGAGTCGTCTCAGCCTCTGTCTCAGGCTTCTCAGCAACCTCATACATCTCCTCACGTCTCAGACTCTGCCACTTGGCCAGCTCCGCCTGAGATTCAGACAGCTTCTTCATCATCTCCGTCATCGTCACCTTCTCCTTCCCTGACTTCACCAACATCTCCAACTGAATCAGGGTAAAAGATCAAATGTGTTAGTAATTTTGTATTTGGTTGTGTGGGTAGGAATATTTGACTGTTCTCATACACTGCACAGCGGCATGCGCAAGACAGTTTAAAGTCAGAGCCAGCCAAATCAGTGGTTAAGAGAATGAACAGCGATTGATGTCTTTGGGGAACGACACGCATTAAGAAAGGTCACATACTGTAGCCAACCGATCCTTATTATTCGGCCCTGTCGCAATAAGCCAGGTCGCATACTGTAACAACCGATCGTCATTGTTCGGCCCTGACGTAATAACCAAGGTCAAATACGGAAACCAGCCGATCCTCGAAGGCTCCAAGAACTATAATGGGACACTGGGGACCTGGTTTATCCCTGAGGTGAGGTGAAATTGGGTTTAACGTCGCGTCCAAGATTATTGCACTTATATAGCGACGTGCATGTACGTATGTGTGTTTGTGTGGCTGCTTGTACTAGTCCGGACTGATGCCGATTGATAGTGCTAGCTCACTGAGATACCATGCCGCAGTTTAACATGAATACCCAACTCAGACACAGTATACTGACTCCGAGCCGACCAGTCCTTGTTTTAGCTCCTTAATGCCGAGCGCCAGACAGGGTAACAACAAGTACCATTTTTAACGTCTTTTGGTATGACGCGGCCGGGGATCGAACCCCGGACCTTCCGCTCTCCGGGCGGACGCTCTACCACTAGATCACGGAGGCGGTCGGTTTATCCCTGAATCCTCACGGGATGGGCTGGTTACTGTATGTGTTCATAGGGGCGGTCGGGTAGCCCAATGGTTAAAGCGTTCGCTCGTCACGCCGAAGACCCGGGTTCGATTCCCGACATGGGTACAATGTGTGAAGCCCATTTCTGGTGTCCCCCGCCGTGATATTGCTGGAATATTGCTAAAAGCGGCGTAAAACCATACTCGGTCAGTCAGTATGTGTTCATAAATCAAGTGCTTGACAACACACGCAGGCTATATCGACGTTGGAAGTCAACACAATCGTTGATATCACCAATGTTTCGAGTATTTGCCCGAGCATACGTCTTTATATGTGAATATCTGTGTTGCCATGCTGGTAATAAGTGATATAGATTAACACATTCAAAGGGCGACTCTTACCTCATCCTCCCTCTCGAATCTGGCGGACATCCTGCCTTTCTCGTACATTTCCAGGTACATTTTCTTGTGGTGCAATTCCTTTGATTCTGCGGACTCCTTCAAAATACACGGGGCAAATTATTAACATGACTGAGGAAAGAGCTTCGGTATTTCCATCGCTTTAAATACACACGGGATAACTGAATTTATTTAAAAACCTGGAGAACTGTGATCGATTAATAGAGCCTTCTTTGGTTTTCGTAACTTCAAAGGACGCCTGAGTAACGGATAACCTAGTGGCCAATGGTACCGTCATTCAATGTGAAGTGTAATAAACACCCTACACGTGTGACCTGCCTGCATCTTTTGGAGACCATTTGATGTTCAGGGACGGGGTGTGTCTGGGGTGCTTTGAAAGGAATAATTTGAAATAATAAAGAAAAAACGGACTGTAAAAAACAAAAAAATGTTCAGCACCTGTCTTGTCTCCTTAAATCACATTTACTGAACAATGACAACCTCACATGACTTCACTAAAAGAAAACTAGCAGAAGCAGTCCAAAAGTCATTAATCAACAGAGATAAAGTATATTTCATCCCATCCGCCTACTATGAACTCAGACCCTGACGATTCGGGGTAGAATAGGTCTTCAGCAACCCACGCTTGCTGCAAAAAAACGACTATGCTTGTCGTAAGAGGCGACTAACGGGATCGGCTGGTCAGGCTCGCTGACTTGGTTGATGCATGTCATCGTATCGGATTTGCGTGGAGCGATGCTCATGATATCAATCACAGGATTGTCTGGTCCAGACTCGATTATCTACAGACCGCCGCATATAGTTGGAATGTTGCTGACTGCGACGTTAAACAACAAACAAACAAATCATTAAGCAATACCCATCCTACCAGTGTATACGTAATCTTATTTATTCGGTCTTCTCATCACGTACACTCTTCTACCATATTGGGGGCAGTGGGGTAGATAGCCTGGTGGTTAAGCGATCGCTCTTCCCGTCGAAGGCCCGGGTGCGATTCCCCTCATGGGTACTATGTGTGAGCCCCATTGCCGAAACCGGCGTAAAACCATACTCACACACTCACTCCACCATGCTGTTATTATATCATCGGGGCGGTCGGGTAGCCTAGTGGTTATAGCGTTCGCTCGTCACGCCGAAGACCCGGGTTCGATTCCCGACATGAGTACAATGTGAGAAGCCCATTTCTGGTGTACCCCGCCGTGATATTGCTGGAATATTGTTAAAAGCGGCGTAAAACCATACTCACTCACTCACTATTATATCATCCTTCTGTTGTTACTATTAAATCCACTCTAGTTAATCTCTCATGTATGCATTTGTTGTAACTAATAATCCTCCCCCTAATATATGTATTCTGTACATGTTCATTTTTCAGTCTTGCTTGACAACGGTACAAGGATCAATACCGAAAGGTCGCTATTACAGTAAAAAACAGAAGTTGTTGTCCATAAATTGAGTCTACTTTGAAAGCAAAGTAGTGAGTGAGTGAAATGGGTTCTACGCCGCTTTTAACAGTATTCCAGTTATATCGCGGCGTGTCAGCTTAATGTGGGAGAAAAGACCGAAGTGATGCAGGTCTCAGACGTTTACCACTTCGGTGAAACCCACGAGCACGGGTATGGTGCTGACAAACCTAGAAACATAGGTTTCTGGCGTGTCCAAGGGACGCAACTCTGCAAAGCGAATCGAGGCGCCTGAGACGACTGGGCCACCCGTGTACCCTAAAGCAAAGCAAGTAAGCATGTCCTGGTTACTTTGAACAGCACTGGTTAACATTGAGTTACGTCCAACGCCTTATGTTGACAACTGCATCTCCTTTATAACTTTGTCAAACGCGCAAGTAATCGAAGAGACGACACACGTTACAACCATTAAATCCTTTAACAACATCTACACAGAGACGTACCGTGGCCTTGACAGTGTGTTTCACATTATTCATTGATTTCTCCGTAGTCGTCACAATACTTCCACTCATTGCTACATTGATTGTACACAATAATCACATCTTAGACAGCTATGTCGCTATAATGCAACTTGTAAGACTATTGTCTTGTAGCAAATTCCAAATCATCTGAGTCACGTATAACGATTTGCATAGCGAGAGAGAGGGAAATACATGCGTAATTCTGAGATGAGCTCAGTTACTCTTGGGGCGAAATACCCACTGTAAAAGTAGCCGAAGTGAAGACGATGTGTTTTCTAAACTTCCGGGCAAAAGAATATATACACTTGAAAATTGGATTTGACCAAAAAATTACAAACGTTTGCAAAATGTAACCTTTCGCCGAAAGACTGCAAACTTAAGGTTCAAAACACAACCATGATACCTGTGTCAAATACATCACCATGGAATCACCATTTAATGTTTGTTTCATTTATAACCGCCATCAAACTAGTGTGTATATTTCCCCCCATTTCAAGTAGGTAACAGGTCAGCCTGACGTCAATAATGATGCGATGTGATGACGTCAATAATGATACGTGGTATGACGTCAAAATATGTTTGCATTGTTACAATAATACTGTTGTGCTGTAATTATTACACGCCTGCTTCGTATGTGTTACGAACTCGTTTTGTCTTGAACCTAAACGTTTGTACAATTCTCTATCCTTTACAAGCTACAGATTCAGAAAAGTTTATTTCTTTACATTTTCAAACACATTCTGCTTGTACATATGCCTTATGTCTTTACTTATGTTTGTTCTCAGAGTCATACAACTCTTGCTCGAAGTTGTTTGATCAAGGTCACAATATTCAAGACCTCACTGGATCTTTCAAATGGTTTCATGGTAGACAGGGGGATGGCGTTTCCGGGTTTGAAGCACCAGTGGCAAACAAACCATCAGATACAGTTCCCTGTTTTGGCTTGTACCATATATTCCCGGGTTTTTTTCAGATAAGGAGTTGATTTGTTATTGCATGTGTTTGTGACGGGTGCCACCAGTTGGGCACAAGACGCTCACCTTCTCGCGAACTCCTGGGCCCAAGATGATCGTAACGCCCATACTTTAACATAGGCTTACAATAGTCTTAGCGCTAAGATCGCTTTGTGCAAGTGGGCCCTGGTGTCATCACTATTTGATAAACAGAGATTTCTACTTTTCATGGAAAGGGCTTTGTCGTTTATATTTACCTCTATACGTGTTATATTCTTAAAGTTTGAACATGTTTTCCGCTTGCTATACTTACTCGAAGTCCTTGAAGCGTAGTTTCTAGAGCATTGACAGCTTTCACAGATTCTTCATAAGACAACGTGAGGTCGTCATATTTGGTCGCCATAGTTTCTAGATTGTCCATGATTTGTTTCACCTCTTCATTCTTCGTGTCCAGAATATTCTGCGCTTCCTTGCCGATGCTCTGTCTCAGACTGTTCACTTCTCCATTCTTCTCTTCCAGAGTCTTCTCCAGTTCTTTAACCTGCAGAATTGTATAACCACATCGTCAGGAAATGTGCACTAAAGAAGAATGATGACCTTGCAGCATGACCGTCAAGGTCATCACTTCTGGAAATATGATGTATTTACTTTTTAAGCAATGGGATCGAGATTATTGTGTTAAAAAGAGAACCTTTTTATTAATTAGAGAATTATACAATAAATGTAAACCATATATTACCCTTTAAGTCATGTATATTTCTAATTTTACAGCCGAAGTCCCGGGTTTGATTCCCGACATGGGTTCAATGTGTGAAGCCAATGTCTAGTGTCCCCGTGTGATATTACTGGAATATTTCTAAAAGCGGCGTAAAACCACACTCACTCACTCACTCACTCTAATTTAACAGATTTTCGTGCAGAAGGTTACACACATCGAACTGTGCCTACGATATTAGGCATTCCCCGTGGGGATTTCGGGTAAGAACTGGCCTCACGCAACCTATGCTTGTTTTGGAAGGACAGAAGACAGATATGTGACATCATATCCCGATAGCGTGGGACGTTGATCTATTGATTCCTTGAACCAGTCCTGATTATTTACAGCCTCCAGCTATATAGCTGGAATATTGCCGTGGCGTTAAACAACACTCCCTCGCCCACCCATTCTCATTCCATATGTCATGGAATATAACAACACATTGGAATATAACAACACAGTTCATTGTCACTGGAACAATATATCTTACTAAAATATACGACTGCAGAGGCAAAGTGTAATGTTTGATGTGAATGTGAATTTGAAAGCAATATATTCCCCTTTTGTGAGATGAAATGGTATTTCTTCTCTCGTTCATGGATAGTCGTGTAATTTGGTATGATTAATAAGAAATCACACTGACATATATTCATATGCTAACTTAATTCAAATAAGTTATATGTATGAAAACCCCACAGACACTGAAGTATTCATTAATAGAATCTTCATAATTACCCCCCCCCCCCCCCTAAATACACTATTGGCTAGACATTTAAACTCAAATTAATAATCACCTGTTTCTTAAGATCTCTGATTGTCTGCCCCTTTCTCTGTGTCGGGGTTAAGTAGTCGTCCTTGTTAGCCTCGAGTCCATGTTCAAGATGGCTCTTCTCTATCCTCATCCTGCTGGTGATTGTTTCCTTTGTTGGCGCATGATGCACGACTGAGTTGCAGTCAAGACTGTTGCAATCCCTCCTCAGCTGTTTCCCGGATTTATTCCCCTTACCTTTCCCACACACCTCACTTCCACAGTCATGGGAATGTCCAGTAGCATGGCTGTTACAGTTTTCTGTTGCGGAACGTTCAAGCTTGGGTTTAGTTTTTACCGGAAGTTTTGACGTCTTTTTCCTTGGTTTGGAGTCGTCAATATCGACCTGCTCCAGACTCTGGTCATCGGTTTCGAGACTGTCTGTGAAACTGGACATTGACTGGGACCGTCTGACTTGCGAAGGGAGGCCATCCTCTTCAGTTGTCTTAGAGCTTTCACTGGGTGTCTTGTTGTTTTCCATGTTGTTGACTTCAGTATTTGTGTCCTCCTGAGTGTTGTTCTCCGAGGTGTTGTTCTCAACTGTGGTGCTCTCCATTTTGATATGCTTACGAGTGCCGGTTCTTGAAAGTTGTCTTCTTATGGCTATCTAAACAATAGTGTTGAACATCACGTCCGCTGACTCGTGGTAGCTCTGTAAGAATTAAGATTATGTCAGAATACAGTATTACACAAACTCCAAATGGCGAGAGTAAGAACTTCAATATCAACCCACCAACAGCCCTGCAATCCGCCTTGCGTGGTTCTTAAGTAAGTAAGTATGGTTTTACGCCGCGTTTGGCAATATCCCTGCACTATCAGGGCAGGGGGCACCAGAAATGTGTATCTTATATAATTCTATGGTAAAAATAAATGATATAGTAAGCGAATAATTAACAACGATATATCATATTTGCTGACACCTCAATCTGTCTCTGTGATACTGTTATGAACATCTGTGACGAGTTGTATCTGAATCGATATCTCAAACTGGCGCCCTGTGCTCTCTGATTGCTGCACAACAAATATAGATTATATGCATTATGCATGGAGGCCCTGTTCGCTCAAATGTTTATATATAAACGTGTTTAAATACATATATCAAGGTATATCAACAGGTAATGTCAAAATACCTGTTGGTATTAACGTATTTTTTCTACCGATAGGGCAGGAAATGCTTACCCTTTTCGCAAAAAAACTTGGTGTCATCACTGATTTGAAGTTATCCATTCATATAATTTTCACCTCTATTTACCTTTTACGCTCAATGAAATATGTTTCGGCGGATTAGCAAGACTGGTGGTGACGTCTCATATTTACATGTGGATGAGTTAGGTTCAACGGTGCATTGAACAGTATCCTAGGTATGTCATGGTGTGTCGGAGAAAAGCCGGAAGTGGTGCAAGTGTTTACCACTTTGGTGTAACTCACGAGTAACAGGTGTGTCTGGTGAGTCTGGGAATTGAACCGATGATCAAGGTTTTCTTGCACTCCCAAGGGACACAACTCTGCACAATGTAATTCAAGTCACAGAGATGAGAGTATGAACGTCAAAAACATCGACGTGTTAATAAACACTTGATAAGTTGTGTTGTTGACAAACGACACATAGAAGTTTTTTTAAGAACACCCACAATTTGTGTTACTCTTAAACAGCATGTAAGTTATATTGTTGATATAAGTTGTATTGTTGACATACTGTTAAACTTAATTTGTTATGCGCATGCGTATGGTTTTTGGTTTATATTAAAATTGTTATTATTGAACTGACATCTGTGGGCATGAGATGTCCCACCAGCCATTGTGAATGAGTATGACTAAATTTGATGTTTAAACTATGCTATCACACATTAAATGGTTCAGAGAATACCATCTCCAAACGGAAGCTCTGTATGTGATACTTGACTACATTAGATATCAACAGTGGGTACTTACACATGAGGACGAAGATCTGTAGGTGATGCTTGATGACGTAGACTATATTAGATATCAACAGTGGGTACTTACACATGAGGACGTAGATCTGTAGGTGATGCTTGATTACGTAGACTATATTAGATATCAACAGTGGGAACTTACACATGAGGACGTAGATCTGTAGGTGATGCTTGATGACGTAGACTATATTAGATATCAACAGTGGGTATTTACACATGGGGACGTAGATCTGTAGGCGATGCTTGATGACGTAGACTATATTAGATATCAACAGTGGGTATTTACACATGAGGACGTAGATCTGTAGGTGATGCTTGATGACGTAGACTATATTAGATATCAACAGTGGGTCCATACACATGGGGACGTAGATCTGTAGGTGATGCTTGATGATGTAGACTATATTAGCTATCAACAGTGGGGATTTACACATGGGGACTTCACTTTTGTTAGTTCGCCTGGTCCAAATATAGTGCTATGTGGTACCAGAAGTTTTCATGGCGCCCATGGGGCTTAATAACTTCCATTTAAGAGTGTCTCTTTTGCATACAAAGGAACGGTGAGGTAGCCTAATGGTTTAATCTTTCGCTAGTCACGCCGAAGACCCGGGTTCGATTCCCGACATGGGTACAATGTGTGAAGCCCAATTCTGGTGCTCCCGCCGTGATATTGCTGGAATATTGCTAAAAGCGGCGTGAAACCATACTCACCCACTCACTCTTTTGTATACGCACTTGTATTGATACAATATATATGCAAGTATTGTTCAACGTGAATATGAATGAAATGATTCTGTTATGTCTCAAGCAACAATAGCCCCACTTTATGACGGCGCCCTGTAAATAATCCGGGCCAATTTAAACAGTGGCTGTCAGCATGAGTAACGGTCCATACCGTAGGGGCACAATGATACACAGTCAGCAAATCAGTACCCCCAAATCTCCTCTAACGACTTGGGACACAAGGGGCCTATTCTTCTCCGGAATCCAAGACAAATATAGGTAAACAAACATTGCAGAATCAGCTGATTTCCCAGCATATGTTACAGTGTTGCTAGCATGACTACAAGCAATATGATATATTTATATCTCTATCTAGAGCCAAGTCCTGACAATAAATACCGGTAATGTATTGACATTTACAAGCTGCATTATTAATTCCCCTGTATCAACAGCCTGTAATGGATGTTGTTACATTGTGACCTTAGACCGACAACAAAGACCGAGCTGCAATAAACACTTTAAACTACAGGCACATGGCAAGATGGTCGCTGGTGTTTCTGGGTTAGTTGGATATTTACATCGCTTCGTATGAGGCAGAGACCATCAGTCGCATTCATACAAGTGTAGTTTGGCGGAAATATGAGTGTTTTGGTTTGGAAACAGGCGCATGGTAATCAGGTTATCCAGAAATAAGAAATATTGATTGTCGACTCGCGTTTTCTTTGAAGCAGTTGTACACGTGTCTACATATTTCACCCTCCCCTCTCCACAACATTCACCCTCATTTCTAATCTCTAAGCCCTTAATATATGAAATGAGCCATTTGTCACTTTTCCTCCTGGAAACAGTTCAGGTACTTACTTGTACGAATGAACTGTAACTTGGTAACGATTGATTTTTTCGCGAACACCTGGCGTCATCACTGATTTTAAGTTATCCATTCATATCAGCGCTGTTTTGCCAATTACGACCACTGGAATATGTTTCGGCGGATACTCCAGACTTGTCTCACTCTTATTCTCTGGCGTTGACGTTTTATATTTACGTGTGGAGGAGTTTGGTTTAACGCTAAATCGAACAGTTTATCAGTTGGGTGACGGCGTTTTTAGCTTGGTGTGGGAGGAAAGCCCGAAGTATCCACGAGTATTATCATCCGATGACGTTTTCTTTTCAGGTAACTAACTATTGGTGGAGAAGGTGCTTGGACGTTATCATGTGGCCCGAAATTCCTCACAATATTGTATCTGATGATATGTCAGTTTCCTATTTAATTACAATAATGATAATAATAATAATGATGATGATGATGATGATGATGATAATAATAATAACAACAACAATAATAATAATAATAACAACAACAACAACAACAACAACAACAATAATAATAATAAGTGAATTTATAATGCGGCAGATTCCATTCAGCAAGTGGATGCTCATAGCGCTACACTATTATTACCCCTGTCAATGGATCAGTGAGCACTCGATTTTCATTCTCATCTCCCTGGGGAGTATACAACCCACGCTGCCTGTGAGGCGCTAGAAGGTTAACAGGTTGTGACGAGGATATATGATGTATTTTTCTGAACCATACAACGATACGGGGAACTCTGAGGAAGTTAATAAACCCTGGTCTCCTAACATGATAGCTTATATTTAATATAGGACTTACCGAATGTTCCAGTTCTTCTCAAGGAATGGTTTCTGATTAATCCCACGCTAGCCCTTCTCTTCATATTTAGTAACTGACTAAAGACGACCTTATCGTGAGACACGATAAGACAGGACTACTTATCAGAAAGTGCATGTCAACTGGAGACTAGTATTTTGTGTTGGTGAACGTTTGTTACATGCCTCGTACAAGACGCCGATATGAAGAATGTCCATTCAAGATTGTTTCGAAAATGTGCGTCTCCTGTATCAGTGGTACTTAATCAGCACGCGATGGGTTGAGTCACAGTTATATAACATGTTGAACCTCCACTCTGTATCACGATCTGTGTCAGATGGTGGTTCTTGTATAAGAATGAGCTATGCAAGCGGTATATTGATCAATTTCCTGAATTGGCTGTCTACACGCTTCGTGTATACAGTCAGCTTGACATCTCTATAACATACATGCGACGGCTGTGTGACATATCCCCTACCCTGACCACCCTAAACATATCTTCTCACGGATAACATCTGGTAATTAAGACATGCATCAAGATTATAGGAACTGATACTTATATGGTACGTCTTACAAATGTTACGTACAAAAACGAATATAAGTGCTGCTAAGCCTGTGTTAATACAAATATATATATATATATATGTGTGTGTGTGTGCGTGCGTGTGTGTGTGTGTGTGTGTGTGTGTGTATATATATATATATATATATATTGAAGCATACTCAAGAAAGGAATGCATGTATAGGGCTTTACTTGATAAATTGCACGGCAGTCAATGCCAGATGTTTGTTCGCATATATCGACGTTTGTGCCACAACATATACTAGTGTTTGATATGGGGAAATAAAAACTTATCACATGTCTAGTCTAATGATTATGTTACTGACACTTTTCACTCATACATTGATAAAATACACAAAAGGCCAACCTTATAAACATCAGTACCTCCGTATGTGTAGCTGAAGTACCTCCAGACAATTCCCGTCCAAAATCAGCCCCCTCGACAACAAGATTCACAACCGGTGAGTTATTAGTTTGCACCCACCAGTATTTGATTCGCCTATGCTTATAAAACTGAGCACAGTTGGTGCATGTCACTGATATGGTATCTATTGATTAGCATGAATAAATAGAACAACGCCTGTCTGTCTTGTCGATAGCGGAGATTATACATTTTTAATTATTAGTGGGCATAAACACCTGTACAGAAGGGTATTTGTACTCCTTACGAAAAGATTGTATAGTTGAAATATTTTATTGATGTCTACGTGTTAGGCGAGACTATAGTATTTCTGATTTTTAGAACAAAAATCGAAAGCGATGAAAATTTATAAAAAACATAATAATTTTAGAAGTCATTCAATTATTTCATAACATTGATTAATTGACAAAAGTGAAAAAAGACCATTGTTTTAAAGGTAATAACTTACTGGGTCCGCACCTCAAAGAAATTATCTCCAAGTATGTTTGAAATATTCCTACGTATGTTCAAGCCGGGTTAACAATAAACTCTTACTTATTTAGTCGCTATACGTTTATATCATCTACAGCTATTATTAATCGTCAAAGATCCTTTTAGGAAACGTCCTTTTCCCTTCATATTGAACTAATTAATCATGGGTGTCAAAACAAACACGACACCGGTTTATCACTGCACACGTGGTATTATCGACAAGCAGGGCGCACCGTGTAGAACACACTGTAGATTTACCTCGGTTGGGATTCAGCAAGGCGGGCTCCTGCAACCTGTTACATTGCCCGCCATTCAATAAATCGTTCATTTAGATTCAGCCCAGGTACCATTGTCTCGCGGTTACTTGTGTGAAACATATTTTTGTACGGTGGTGTGTGCTGCATAGGCAATGTTGTGTTTCATTGTGAAAGTTGGCTTCGTGTGATCGTCATATATAAGATTGATAGATGACTATAAAGCCTTCTATGTGCAAAATTATAATCTATAATAAGAAATTGATAATATTCATGAATTATGACCTTGGTATTTAAAGAATACGGCTTAATTTCTATACAATTCAAACCGCAAAGTCTAATCAATCCAAGTGGATTTTTATAGTAAAATATGTCAATTGTAGATTATATTATGGTAAAGGTACGAAATCGCAGAATCAAGCTGTTAACACACACCTACTTAATCACATTCCGAACCCATGACGTTATATATAATTGTGTGCGTGGTTATATGTAGAGGTATATGTAGAACTGAATCGATAAAAATGAATAAATAACGGTTAATGTTATATACAAAATACCTACATTATAATATAAAACCTATTGATTCTATTATTGTCGAAACAATTTTATAAATATGGCGAAAGAAAATGTTTCCATGCAATGCTGCATTTTCAAGGTGACCTGTAGGGTATGCTCATCTTCTGATTTTATAAAACAAATTGTCCCAAGGGAAGACTTTCGCACACCTTCCAATTCACCCGGCATTCAAAAATAGTTTAAATGATTTTGTAAACACGAGCGAACGAATGAAAACTTGAACATTGTTTTCTCGACCTTAAAAAAAGAATTCTCCAGATTAATACGCTTAATTTCCCTGACAGGAATGCGCTTTTAAATACTGTCTGACTTTCGTACAGTTGGTTGGTTGGTTGTTTTACGCAGCACTCAGCAAAATTCCAGCTATATGACGGCGGTTTGTAAATAATCGAGTCTGAACCAGTGAATCCAGTGATTGACATCATGAGCATCGATCCGCGCAATTGGGATCGATGCCATGCTTCAACCAAGCGAGCCTGACCACCCGATCCCGTTAGTCGCCTCTTACGACAAGCATAGTCGCCTTTTACGGCAAGCATGTGCTGCTGAAAACCTATTCTACCCCGGATCTTCACAGGTCACAGTATCGTATTTGAGTGAAACTATCTTCGTATTACCTGGAGGAGGTGAACCAAGACCAGAAAGCAGGAACAATTCACGTCATCGGTTACTCTGAGGTCATCAGTCAGGTCACAGAGACTGCCTAACAATACCCGTTAGACATCAATGAGGTGCTTGAGACCTGGGCCCACTTGCACAAATCGATCTTAGTGCTAAGACTATTGTAAGCCTATGTTAAAGTATGGTAGTTACGATCATCTTAGCGCTAAGATCCCTTTGTGCAAGTGGGCCCAGGTCTGATCCGGAATTGAGTGAAAGAGTGCTATTTTACGCTGCAACCAGCAATAAAAAGATTACCACACAGCATTCTGGAACACATTTCGCCAGGGAAACCAGTGGTCAACAGTATGAGCAACGACCCACGCCGTCGGGGCAGGATGACACGTAATCATTAAACCACACACTGTTATCACTGATACAATTATGCTCAATGTAGCCGACCCATACAATAAGGGACCGGGCACCTGTCCGCCCCATACCCACTCGAGGTTTACTGAATTGAGCGACCATACCGGGATGCATACGTTTTGTACATACTGACACTAAATTGATTAAAAGTGGGACATTTCTTTCAATTGCTCGTGTTAAGCGACTGATACTTACTGTTGAGGATGAAGAGGCTCCACTATGTTGCTGTATCTAATGTATCCAGCACTTCTAGCACATGCTACCAACATTGATATCATAAGTGTTGTCTTATCAATAATCAATACTGATGTGGGGAGCGTTGCAGCTCGCGGCCACGTGTCGCTGTCTTGTCAATATAACTAGACACATGAACATATAGGACATCGCCAGGGTCGGTTTCCCAGATACTGCGACCCGTTGATTTCAGAATCATAGTGAAACGTTAGCATGGGACTGTACTTTGTGAACGTAATTTTACCATGAGTCACAGGGGCTACTAGGCTGGGAGGGCATGAATGGGAATTACGTTAATAATATTCGCAAAATAGACTATTGGTCGTGATGAGTTCATTGCGATGAATCGAACCGAGTAGCGTGCCCGTCAAACTAACACACTTCCAACTGCACGAGACTACATGTGGAGAAAATAATTTCAGTTCAACCAATAAAATCGGGTTAAACATTTCCCAAAACATGATACAATGCTAACTTAACAAAAGTCGTCGATTATATGCCTCGACATCGGAGGCAATATGATCGTTCCAGGCAAAGAAGTTCGTAACCTGGGTATGATTTTCAACTCATCACTATCTATGGCTTCTCACGTGGATCACATCTGCAAGTGAGCATATCTGAACATCAGGAATATTGGACAGATTCGCCAGTGTATAAATGCAAAAACAGCTGCTTCTCTAGTTCACGCATGTGTTCTATCACATCTAGATTTCTGTAATGGACTACTCATCGGTCTTCCTCATAACCTTTTGACTAAACTTCAAAGAGTTCAAAACTGTGCTGCCAGGCTTGTTACTAAATCCAAAAAGTTGGACCATATCACACCGATTCTACGGAACCTCCACTGGCTCAAAATCAATGAGAGAATCCAGTATAAAGTGATGCTGATTGTGTTCAATGCGAGACACAATCAAAAACCAACTTATATCAGTGAGCTTCTTGAAGAGTACGTTCCTGGGAGATCTCTCAGATCACGCTGCCAGTCCCTACTCTTTGTGCCTAGTGTTAGAACGGCGACTTTTGAAGGTCGGAGTTTCGCCAAAGTTGCCCCTGAGCTATGGAATAGGCTGCCATTGGATATCAGGAACATTGACAGTCCTACTTTGTTCCGATCAAGACTCAAAACCTATCTTTTCACCAAATCTTTCTTGGAGTATTGAGGCTTCGTATTTTCCTAGCTGTGTAATGTCTCTTTTTGTGTAGACTCAAATGAAGCGCTTTTGAGCAGTTCTTCGAACTGGATACCAGCGCTTTATAAATCTGTAGTTATTATCATTATTATGCCAGTGAGTTGAGTTGAGTTGAGTTGAGTTGAGTTGAGTTGAGATGAGTGTAATATCACGACGGGGAACACCATAAATGGGCCTCACACAATGTACCCATGTGAAGCACGTAAACCGGGTTTTCGGGGCGATGAGCCAAAGTTTTACCCTCTAGTTTTTTCCACCGCACCCCCAGGTTTTACCCTCTATGGTTTTCCACCGCACCCCCAGGTTTTACCCTCTAAGGTTTTCCACCGCACCCTCAGGTTATACCCTCTAAGGTTTTCCGCCCTACCCCCAGGTTTTACCCTCTAAGGTTTTCCACCCCACCCCCAGGTTTTACTCTCTAAGGTTTTCCACCGCACCCCCAGGTTTGACCCTCTAAGGTTTTCCATCGCACCCCCAGGTTTTACCCTCTAAGGTTTTCCACCCCACCCCCAGGTTTTACCTCTTAGGTTTTCCACCGCACCCCCAGGTTTTACCCTCAAATTTTTTCCACCGCACCCTCAGGTTTTACCCTCTATGGTTTTCGACCCCACCCCCAGGTTTTACCCTCTAAGGTTTTCCACCCCACCCCCAGGTTTTACCCTCTTGTTTTTTCCACCGCACCCCCAGGTTTTACCCTCTAAGGTTTTCCACCGCACCCTCAGGTTTTACCCTCTAAGGTTTTCCATCGCACCCCCAGGTTTTACCCTCTAAGGTTTTCCACCCCACCCCCAGGTTTTACCCTCTAAGGTGTTTCACCCCACCCCCAGGTTTTACCCTCTAAGGTTTTCCACCGCACCCCCAGGTTTTACCCTCTAAGGTTTTCCACCGCACCCCCAGGTTTTACCCTCTATGGTTTTCCACCCCACCCCCAGGTTTTACCTCTTAGGTTTTCCACCGCACCCCCAGGTCTTACCCTCTAATTTTTTCCACCGCACCCACAGGTTTTACCCTCTTGGGTCTTCCACCGCACCCCCAGGTTTTACCGTCTGAGGTTTTCCACCGCACCCCCATTTCTTACCATTTCAGGCGTAAAAAACATGAGAAGCGACCCAGCGCCAATGAGGCACGTTGACACAGAGCTGACCAACTGATCCAACTGTAGTCTCATCGTACAACCAACAACAGGACTTGCAACCTCAGTACCTCAAGACTAGTGCTTGCACAAATATTCTTTTTCACAAATATATTTCACCCCGTGTCATGAAACAACGAGGTTCTCAAATGGAGATATAGTTTCTGAATCCTAACAGGCATATTTTTACAACTGATTAC